CTTATGAACTGTTACAGTAAAATCTTTGAAATTGTTGCATTTATATTTTTGTTCTGTGGCACCTTTCTCATTGAGTGAAAGGCCAGTTAAATCTCTCAATTGAACATTATTTTTGACTGCACCTTTCTCACCAGGTCTTCAAGCAGGCTATCATACTACCTTATGCACTAATACATTTTTTGAATCTATTTATATTTTCCTTAGCAGTTGTACTCAATAACAGAAGCAGGACGTTGAAGTTGATGGCAGACTCCAGTAATTTCCCAAATATAATCTTTAATCCATTCACATTACATTTAAGTAATTTAGCAGACTCTCTTATCCAGAGCAACTTACAGGAGCGGTTAAGTGCCTTGCTCAAGGGCACATCAACAGATTTTTCACCTAGTCGGCTCGGGGATTCGAACCAGTGACATTTCGGTTACCAGCCCAACGCTCTTAACCGCTAGGCTACCTGCCACTCCTAATGCCCAGACTGAGGAGAGCTAGTGCTATTCAGAGAATGTATAGTTCAAAACTCATCTGAATAGTTTCACACTTACAAACTCGCTTTCTTTTTTCGCCTCCTACTCACTGCGGAGTCTGCCAAGTTTGCTCAGGCATTCCAAATATGCAAACACAACTACTGTTCAAGTTGGTGAATAAGAAGAGGCATTCATAATGTGAGTTTTGCTGACTTTAGTTTAAGATGAACATCAGCAGTATAGTGTTACTGTATGTCCCAAGTTTTCAGTATTTGACAACAGAATACTACAATCACAAAGACTCTTACATGCAGACTGTTGTAATTGGTGTGTGAAATGTAGCGACGGGTTTGTTTTTAAGCAATGGATCCACGATTAGAGAGCGGATGATCTAGTGGCCTACATCTGTCCCAATGTGGTCACAGGATGGAAGTGTCAAAAATAAGGACCGCACCAGCCAGAGGAGGAGTGTGTCACTTTTTAGAATAGCACTGACATGCCAAATCCACGTTCAAAGAAGTAAAGAGGTGAGGCAGGTTATTCCATGGAAATCGTTAAGTTAAAACTGTCCTTTGTCACAAACTAATTTCCAGTCATCCTCTCATTCTCCTTTTTAGAGTGGACCTATTGTAAACTATTGATCTAGAGATATCTGTGTAACTTCCCTTTTAAAAAGGCTTTAGACTTCAGGAAACCTTTTGTAAGAGGATTCTCCCTGAGGGACAGGAACCTGAAAGTGATCCAAGTGGTTTCGCCCTGCCTGTCCTGTTTCTGACAGGCCCATGTGTTAACCTGATGGGTAAGAGCTCGCCATATGGGGACTTCTCAATAAGTCATCAATAGTTTATATTTCTCCATTGTGTTGTTTGTTGTGTGCAATAGTATTGGATTGAGTGAGGGTTGGTGGTTAGGCCAATGATTTAATTAGAACGTACACAATAAAGACTATTGTCTGAGAGGTTCATAAAAGGTTGCAAACTGTAAACCAGAATTGGTTGACATTCATTTTATAATGCTCTGGAAGGTTAGATGGGGTCACCTTCCCTGTGCCCCTGCCAAGCTGGGCAAGGGCAGTTTGCTTTTCATTCAAATCCCAATGTGAATTGCAAATCTCCCAGATCATCTGAGCTTAGCGGCGCTTCTAGAGGTTTGGCCCCAGTCTGCCCTAAGAGCATTGGCCTCTGAAACACACATAGTTTAACACTGTGGGAATAATCGCAACCTGAGGTGGCACTGCTCAGGGCACAGACGGGTCACTGCAGCCATAGTGACTGACTGCCCATGCAGAGAGCTGTGTGTTTGTGTGTGAAAGAGAAAGAGAGAGATAGTGTAGCTCAACTTCGGAATCATTTCAGTGATATTCCCGGACTGTGTTGTAATCGGAATGGTTGGTATTTATTTTGACCTCACCATAGAAAGTCTATGTTAATGACATGTTTTGTGTAGGCACCAGTGACGACATAGGCCTGTTAGGTAAGGCCTGCACAGACTGTACAATTTTAGCCGTCTTATGCCACGATTTTGCTGTCCCAGACAATTTCCAGGTCGTGGGCAAATTCTTAAGTCGTGAACAATTGTCGTCTTGGCTCGTTCATTGTGACAGGGTCTAGGTCTGCCGATTGAAATACCCCTACGTGCGGTCGTAGGCTCTGACAAAGTTCTGTCAGTGTCAGACATTTTGAGCCTTTATCGTGTAGTGTAGCTGGTGTGACGAGCCGATCCCGGTTATTGACCAATAGGAACACGGCCGGCACGGAGTATGAGCACAATAATACGATTTTTATAATAATATGATTATTGTGAATAGTCAGATTAATATAATAGTTTGATTTAAATGTTTACATGCTGTGCAAGAAGAACGATTTCCCTAATAATCTTGTTTACATGACACATCTGAAATCAGGCTACCTGATGGGATTTTGATAAATGCACAAAATTGCCAATCAAAATAAATGTTCTACCACAGCAGCCATGTTATTTTGGGGCAGCTTATTTGATTCTGAGTTCAGACATATAAAGTTTGTATGTGAAAACTATTTCTAAGATGCAAACTGTACTTTCAGTTTTTCTGAACTCACTTAACGCATAAGAGGGAGTCTTGCGCTGCTGGTGCCGACAAATGCGCAGATCAAATACACCACTGCAACTGACATAGTTTACGACGGCTGACGTAGACTCGCAAGCCAATCGCAGAATGTGACGGCAAAACTGAAGCAAATCGTACAATCTGGCCAGGTTGATATCAAGATTTTAGTTTGGTAACATCACAGTGTGACATGTAATAATGGTAAAAGACTGAATCCGACGTACAGTGCGGGAAGGCCTGTAAGGGCTCGAAGTGCTCACTACAGTGGTGTTGATAGTACTATTAAAGCATTATGGAATGAGCTATGCTCGAACAGCCACTGGCTATGACAGGAATATGTTCCGCTGGCGTTCTGCTACTGGACCAAACTACTGTCTTGGTGAATCAGCAGTAAAAACACCCATGAATGTCCTTTTATGCACTTGCGCCACCAGTTTATTTTTAAAGGATTTAAATACCTGATCTAGAATGACTGTTCAGCCTCTCTCGGTTAAGAACACACTTCCTATACACATGCAAGTCTTCTCATTCCGTCATAACCTGTTGTTGTTAGCCCATTTATCTTAGGTGCTCTCATGCTAAAACAAAATTAACACGTTGTATAATAGATAAATATTTTGTGGTTCTCAAGTAGGCATAAATGGTCATATGCTCTCACTACGGCTGTATGAAATGTGTGACAGCATATTAAAGGGGCAATCTGCTGTGGCTTCATCCATTTTAATTAAATGTACCCATTTGATTCTTGAAGTCTAAAACTAAGCTCATGAGGCATTTATAAGTTAAACTGTCGTACCCCATCAGAACCCAAAATTCAAGCTTGTTTCACTCCAATGTTAGTAAACAAAGTCAATGTAAATAAATATGATATACCCTCAAAACATGGTTAAAACTATAATGTTGATATCATGGCTGGTCAGTCCTTGCATCCATAGCTCTGTAGATGAATTTGAGCGTGATTACATTTCTCCAGCCCTATCCCTCTGCTTTTTACCGAAACGGGTGGGGAGAAGGCTTTATTGTTTTAACTGCTGATTACCGCTTTAAGGGCGTATCTAGGCAAGTCTACATTCTACCAACCACAGGCAGTCCCTAGAGATTGCGTTCCTCAGGTTGGTTATCTCCACCATTGACATTAACCCATGTAATGTCTGCCTTTTGTAGTATCGCATATGATGTATTACTGCTCAAACTACTGATATCTCCCCTCTCAAGGAAAATATTGCAATTTTCAGTGGTCCAACACAATCCTATAGCTAGGACTCTTTTCACTTCCTTTTACCTCTGTTTGTTTGCTGAGTCCCATTTTAGAACAATTTACAGTCAACAGTACATTTATGTTGACAGAATTTCTATGTGGGTTAAAATCACAGTAACTCGGTCAGTCACTCTTGTTCTGTCACAACAGTATTGGGTGACGTGGAACAGGTGCGAAGAGACGTGCAAACAAAAAAAACACCTGGAAATTAACAGGGTGTGTTTTGTGGTGAAAAATGATTGCTGTGTATCTGTTCCACCACCACAAGAAACTAGTCAATCATTCATGATTTGTGAGAGTTCTTCCCTTTTCTTTGTCTGTCACTCTAACACATCATAAGATATCCACAAACACATTATTTTGTGTGTGTCAGAGGAAGAATGAGACACAGGTATGTCATTAACATGGCAGAGTAGGAGTCTGTGGTGCGTCACTGCCTTGCAGTGGGATAGCTGTCTGCGTAGTGCCCTGTGGGTGTCACACTTGCTGGTCACACTGTCGCTCACAGATGACATCCCATTGAAGATGACTCACCTTCAGTCTCTCCCACACGGAGAACAGGATCGACTCATCTCAACGCCCGCTCCCTTTTCAACTCGTTCTCTCTGTTCCACAGGATCTGAGCGCTAGCTGCCGGGGACTCCTATTACATTTAAATGTTTGTTCTATTCAGCTGTAATGTACAGTGCGTAATCTGAGTAAGAGAACATTTGTGTGGCTGTAAAATCTCAATGAAAGCAGTACAACCCATCATTGTGGTGTGTTATTCTCAGCATATTGCTTGTTATGTGCGTATGAATAATGACATGGCGTTTTGTGTCCTGTGTGTGCTGACGACTTAATGGTCTTCAGTGGGAGGGACGACAGAGTAACGATACACTCAATCTCTTTGACCCGTGTCTCCTCCTTCCCTGACCTGGATGCGTGTAGGCTGTAAATCTTTCTAAACAGAACGTCCGTTCTCGTCCCCCATCTCATCAAGTCTCCAACTCCCCATCACCCCTCTTTCCCACAACGCCACCCACCCACCAGACCCGTTACCATGCCTACGCTCCTGTTTGTTTAGCGGGCCCAGACATGTTTGAGGGCTGCGCTGGACGTCATTGTGAGTGTTTGGGACCGGCACAAAGAGCAGGGTTACTGGCTAAAGCCTGGTTTAGCTGAGAGAATGCAGGTAGCGGGTTTTTAAAAAATGCGTGTGGGCGCCCGGGCCAAGCGGGAGGCAGGCATGCCCGATTATTGGGAGGTCAGAAATGAGATGCCAGGTTCATTTTTAGATTTGGACATGGAAATCCTCTCCTCTTCGCTTGGCAGTTAAAGGTGGCAGATATTTTTTCCGGTCCTTTCTGACTGTTTAAAAGCCTGTTTAAAAGCCTGTTAGAACTAACTAAAAGGCAGATTTGGGGTTTCGAAAGTTGTGTATTCTCTTTATCTCTGAAGGAGAACCGGGTAAACCCATACAATCTTATAGGGAGGCATTTTTCCACCCATTTTGGTGCTAGCTGATATCTTCAAGTGTCTTTTGTTTGAGACTGAACCATACGGTTCCCATAGAAATGTGGTTAGTCTATAACAGCCTAAATGAGCTGTGCACGTTTCTCCCTCCCCAGCCTGCATGTTTTTATTGTGGTTTCAGTTGGCTCCCATGACAGCCCTATTAAACTGGCCAGGCCAGGCCACCATGATTATACACCAGACATGAGGAGAGAAGAGGCCACTGTTGTCAGTTCACTCACTCACTACACTGCAGAATGTCTTATATGTCTGTTGTGTATAAATAAAGGTCACTCACTGTACTGTACAGGCAGTCTATGTCTGTTGTCTATAAATAAGGGGCAGGAGTGTTTCCTGGTCAAGTCGCTTTTTACAGTATGAGCCCATGGTTGGGCCTGGTAGGTTTCCTCTGCCTCGCTGGGATGAGACGTGGTGGTTTTCTATGTCTGTGAAGACTGAAGAGACAACCTCTGAGAAAAATACTAAATATGGTTTAGCCTGGAGTGATGGTGACAGTACAGGTGCTGGTGGGAGGGGAGTTTTGAGTGAAGTTGACATGCTGAAGTAGACTTAAGACTGTTTTTCAGATGAATTTGGCAAGCTCTGGGAGGTGTTACAATTGCACAAAGACTTTGTTTGTCCTGGGACGATTGTTAAAAAAACAGAAACGCAACAATATGAGCATGGAAGGCCAGGAAAAAGGAAAGCTGGGGGGTGGTGGAGTGATGGGGAATTTCTGCCATGTTCTGCCACTTTAGCGGTTGTTTACGTGCGAGGTAATGAGCAGCGAAGGTAGCTGGCTGGCTGCAGTGCAGAGTAGGCGGGAGAGGTAGTTCTAAAACCACCATCATTACACACAGCTCCTGCTCCAGTCCGAGGCCCAGACCTCACTGAATAAGAATGCCCATAGAAGTAATTCTGCCCATTGATGTGTATGACCTCTCTGATTGTTGTACAGAAGCCCATGCAGGGGCAACCTCTCTCAGATACATTTTTATCATGTTGGAGAACCAGGTTAAAAGTGTAATCTTTGTTCAAGATTGGCCATGCCAGGCAAAAATACACTTTGTTAAACTTAGGACCCTACACAAATAGCCTACAGAAACACATCAACGGATCAGGGGCGGCAGGTAGCTTAGTGGTTAAGAGCGTTGTGCCAGTAACCGAAAGGTCGCTGGTTCTAATCCCCGAGCCCACTAGGTGAAAAATCTGTCGATGTGCCCTTGAGCAAGGCACTTAACCCTAATTGCTCCTGTAAGTCGCTCTGGATAAGAGCGTCTGCTAAATGACCAATTATTATTATCAGCTGATGAGGTCACAAATTTGCTCTTGGTGATGGTAACTTCAAAGCATACAGACAGCAAACAGCATGGGCCATGATGTGAAAATGTACTCTTGGACAAAGTCCTCCCCACAAATGTTTCTCATAGCCCTGGGGGGGGTAAAGGTCCATAGCTTATAGATGCTCAATGTGCACAGTTGGGGTTAGATTCTCAGTGGGGATGGTACTGTTGTTGCACAACTGTCCCTTTCACACTAGCCACTGTCTTGTGTATGGGCTTTGTTTTGCTCCTGTGAAATAAAGTCATGCATCAGAGGAAGGCTTAGCAGTCTCTCTGAGGGTTTTTCTAATTACAGCCTAGGCTGCCCAGAGCCATTGTGCTGGAATGCTGGAATTCCCACAATGGAACGCCTCCTGAGAACAATGGCTGAATTCCTCCGATTCCCCACAGGTTTGCTGGGCTAAAGAAAAAGAAGGAGAGTTACAGTGGCACTGCTATTGTACGCCCAGCAGCTTTCCCACTGTCCAGCCCAGGCAGGGTAGGACCAGGGAGGCGATGGGAGGAGACAAGGAGGGGCAGATGGCCAGAACCCCCACTGGGAAAACAGTGAGGTGAGGCAGGGGGGAGAGGAGGAGGGCAGGCTCTTAATTTCTGTTGGAGGTGAAAGACCGTTCTCTCTCATGTAATCAAACCCCTGAGAACCCAAGCTAAGCCTGCCTGAGTATCACTGGGCCTGGTGGCGGATGTGAGCCTGGCGGTGGATGTGAGCCTGGCGTTGGGAGGAGTGAGAGGAGTGAGAGGAGGAGGGTTGTGTATGCATGCAAGTGAATGTGCACCAGTGTGTTTATATACTGTTGTAAGGAACAGATGTGCATGTCATCCTAAATCTGCAGCACATAATCAATTATGTAGGATTTACCGGTGATCTGATCAAGGTCTGCAGGTCTGCTTCAGATAAGCCAGGTCTTGTCCTTTTTCTTATCTAATTGCATAAAAACATGTTGTTCTTCTGTAATAGAACACACACTCTAAGGTATTTGGATTTCCTGCTTGCTCTCATTGTAGAGTAAATAACCTTACACATGATATCTGCTTCCAAATGTGTTGCAGTAGTATACTAGCAAGTCTACATGCTTTGGGGCACTTTGCAGCTTTTCTTTTTCTTCTACAACATTTCCAATGTCTGACTCTCCTGATTATTCCTAGATTCTCCCTGGACTGTCATGTTCTGGCTCCTGAAAGGAAACCTGCTGTTTTTAGTGCTTCTGTACGGATGTGAACCGGGAATGTTAGGATTATCACAGGACTAGCCAGGCAGTTAGCGGCCAAAAGGAAAGAGTCACTGTTTACATTGCCAAAAACCTGTGCTTATAGCCTTAAAGGGATACTTCGAGATTATGGCGATGAGGCCCTATATTTACTTCCGCAGAGTCAGATGAACTCGTGGATAACAAGTTTATGTCTCTGTGTCCAGTATAAAGGACGTTAGAGGTAGTTTCGTGAGCGAATGCTAACTAGCGTTACCCATAGACTACCAGTCATTGCACTAACGCTAGTTATCAATTGTGCTAGCGCTAGTTAGCAACTTCCTTCAAACTGCATGCAGAGACATAAAAATGGTGTCCGAGTTCATCTGACTCTGGGGAAGTAGATAAAGGCCCTTATTGACAAAATCTCAAAGTATCCCTTTAAGTAGGCTGCAGTTCCATTGCCTTACATTTACATTTGAGTCATTTAGCAGCTCTTATCCAGATCGACTTAGAGTAGTGAGTGTATACATATTCGTACTGGTCCCCCCGTGGGAATCGAACCCACAACCCTGGCATTGCGAGTGCCGTGCTCTACTAACTGAGCCACACGGGACCTTCGGTGGAATCCAAACTGTGCCTAAGCCTCTTGGCTCTTTCCCAGCTGTCCAGAATCATGCCTGTCTGTTTGTCAACTCCTGTCACCTCTGGACTGAAGCTGTTTTGTTGATAACCTGTTGTATATAGCTCCAGGTTCCAATCAATGGATGTAGTGGGTGACAGCAGGACCCCCACAGTAACAGCAGGTGCCCGTCCATCCAGCCCCCTGCTCCAGAGTGGGTGGGATAATGACAGACTGTGGATATCAGGTCGAGCTTTGCTAATCAACCCCCATATTGTGAAAATAGATCACTCAGTCGAAGTGCTTTGAAACGGAACTTCCTATTATGTTACATTGAAAACACACTTGGCTTTAACCATATGTTTGGCCTCTCGTGTAATGAGTCAATTGGATTGTTGGCACTAATACATACACACTCAGATCATAAACTTCACTTTTTACTGATGTTCAAATTAGGAGAAACCTGGGTTACATTTTACATACTGGACCCCCGTGGGAATCGAACCCACAACCCTGGCGTTGCAAGCGCCATGCTCTACCAACTGAGCTACAGGAGGCCTAAGTGGGTTAGTGAGACAGAATTTGTCTGTTTATGCATGTTGCTTCTCACTTCATCTCAGCTTTTGCATTTAAGTGTGTGTGTTAAGTGCTGTTTTCAGGATGGCAGTAAAACGTTTCTAAAGCGTTTGAGCCTGGTTACCCCTTTGAAGCGCTTTCACATACTCTGAAAAGACACCCCCACTCCCATCTCCTTCATCAATTCACAATAATGTGACACCCATCCTCACTCACTTGTTTTTATGTCCTTAATGGAAATTGATAGTTGCGCACGCACACACACACACCCTGTAGCCATTGATCTACGCTCTATAAAAGTTCTCAGGCCTCTGTGAAAAGGGGCATCTTTTCTTCTGGATGTGGCAAGGGTACAGGCCAGAGAGAACATGGTCCCCTTGAGTCCCTGAAGCCTCTGGGAACAAATGCAGTGTGGCTCCTATGGGAGAAATCCACTATGACTTGTATGCCTATAGGGATAGTGCTGCGTGTGGTTCCTATGGGAGAAATCCACTATGACTTGTATGCCTATAGGGATAGTGCTGCGTGTGGTTCCTATGGGAGAAATCCACTATGACTTGTATGCCTATAGGGATAGTGCTGCGTGTGGTTCCTATGGGAGAAATCCACTATGACTTGTATGCCTATAGGGATAGTGCTGCGTGTGGCTCCTATGGGAGAAATCCACTATGACTTGTATGCCTATAGGGATAGTGCTGCGTGTGGTTCCTATGGGAGAAATCCACTATGACTTGTATGCCTATAGGGATAGTGCTGCGTGTGGCTCCTATGGGAGAAATCCACTATGACTTGTATGCCTATAGGGATAGTGCTGCGTGTGGTTCCTATGGGAGAAATCCACTATGACTTGTATGCCTATAGGGATAGTGCTGCGTGTGGCTCCTATGGGAGAAATCCACTATGACTTGTATGCCTATAGGGATAGTGCTGCGTGTGGTTCCTATGGGAGAAATCCACTATGACTTGTATGCCTATAGGGATAGTGCTGCGTGTGGCTCCTATGGGAGAAATCCACTATGACTTGTATGCCTATAGGGATAGTGCTGCGTGTGGTTCCTATGGGAGAAATCCACTATGACTTGTATGCCTATAGGGATAGTGCTGCGTGTGGCTCCTATGGGAGAAATCCACTATGACTTGTATGCCTATAGGGATAGTGCTGCGTGTGGTTCCTATGGGAGAAATCCACTATGACTTGTATGCCTATAGGGATAGTGCTGCGTGTGGTTCCTATGGGAGAAATCCACTATGACTTGTATGCCTATAGGGATAGTGCTGCGTGTGGTTCCTATGGGAGAAATCCACTATGACTTGTATGCCTATAGGGATAGTGCTGCGTGTGGCTCCTATGGGAGAAATCCACTATGACTTGTATGCCTATAGGGATAGTGCTGCGTGTGGTTCCTATGGGAGAAATCCACTATGACTTGTATGCCTATAGGGATAGTGCTGCGTGTGGCTCCTATGGGAGAAATCCACTATGACTTGTATGCCTATAGGGATAGTGCTGCGTGTGGTTCCTATGGGAGAAATCCACTATGACTTGTATGCCTATAGGGATAGTGCTGCGTGTGGCTCCTATGGGAGAAATCCACTATGACTTGTATGCCTATAGGGATAGTGCTGCGTGTGGCTCCTATGGGAGAAATCCACTATGACTTGTATGCCTATAGGGATAGTGCTGCGTGTGGTTCCTATGGGAATAATGTAGTCTGACCGGGGGGACCCATGTTCCCACCAGGGTTTCTGTGACAACGTGACCGGCAAGATTTTAATTAACCAGACATTTGAGAAATTTACCGGACATTCATATGCATTGGGTGCGTAATGCATTAGGGCGTCCACCCACGGTGCTCAAAATTACATTTAGATTATTGTAATTCATTTTAACAGAATAGAAGTTAGTATTTTATTGAAAAGCTTAAATCATAAATGAATATAATAATAAAATAAAAACATTTAGCCTAGAAGAACAAGTCACCTACACTGTAATAAAACACAACTTCAAAATCTAATATTTTTAAAATATAATTTGCGAATGACCTGTCCTATAGGCTATTTGTATGAACATTTCTTATTAATAAATAACAAAACACAGCTGTTTTCAAATACAGGCCTCTCTAATTTAGCCTTGGCATGAACATTTTAATTACGCCTAATAAATAACAAAACATGGCTGTCTGTGAACACCAGGGCCGGCCGGTCATGGCTAGAATGGAACCAGCATTTGTCAAATTAACATCAGATTTGACTTTTCGTAGCAGGTTAGGATAATTAACATAACCGGTTAACAGAATTAGGTTACGGTTAGAAAAGTGGTTAGGGTTAGCTAAAATGCCAAAATATTCAACTTTTGACATTAATTTGACAATTGCTGGAGCCGTCCTAGCCGTGACCGGGCCGGCCCGTCCCACTCCCCATTCCAGCTGCGATTCAGCCCCACACTAGTGGAAAGAGGACACTCTAGGCGGCCACAAAATGAAGAAATTGTCAAACTGATGTTGGAAAATCAAATGTATGTAAACAAACAACATTTGTTAAGGCTGGTTCATTGAGAGAAAGCTTATTTTACAATGCTCCTGTGAAACATTTATGAAAGCACTTGTTTCCAAAGCTCAAATTATATCTCACTCTTTTTTACAGTTCTGCTGGATGATGTTAATAAATGTTATGTTTATTGTCATTTGAACTATTGTGGAGTCGTATCTCGTGTTGTGTGATGTACGTGGCTTATTGATAACAACTCTGTTTCCTACTATAGGCAGTTGGCTGCCTCGTGATTGCAACTTTGTAACAATCCGATGTGAATAGTTGGCAACGATGTTTCGTTTCCAAGTGCTACGGAATAAGCTCAACTGAAATGAACCAATTGTGCATGATACACATCATTACTCTACTCTAGTATATCAATCCATTCCAAATCTTTATACTATACATGACACGGGCGGCATATGTTGATCTTCCCTAGGGCGGCAGCAGAACTGCTAGAAACGGGCCTGACGAACACAATAATTTGCCTCTAATTTATTTGTGTTTGCGGCGGACCTTGGCCTGCTCAAAGTGAGCTGCTGCTATTGGGAAGTCAAAACTGTCCAACTACTTGGAGCAGTTTGATGCACATCAGCGCGGTCTTGAGGCTGTCTTTACTCTGTTTTGGAGAAAGAATCACCTCTCGGCGGTCACACTGAAAACGGGAATGTTCAACACAATCCGCCAATTTAGCCCAGTCGGGGTACACTTAGCTGAAGTCCCTTATGAGGACCTTCCATCTTTTGCGTGAGTAAAAATAGAAACCACACCCGACACTAATTTCCAAGCAGCTTGAGGATTTATTAGCCTATGAAATAGCCTATATTTGCCTTTGAAGTTGGAGTACATCGACTGGTATTTCCATCAATGAATAAAAAGCATTATTTTGCTATGGATATTTTCTTTCTCCCGGACAATTTGGCCGGCAACAATTTTATTTATTGGCAAAAAAATTATAATACTGCCCAAAAGCCAGCATTTACCGGTTCCCACTCTTTCCCCAGCGGGATCCTCTGTTAGTCCCATTAGAGGGGATGGGTCTTGGGTCCCATACACACACAGGCTGTTTGAAGTGGCAGACTAGTTCAAACTGTCCCAATTAGACAACCAGGCTCGCCAGGCTGGACCCCACCATGACCTGACCCAGAATTCCAAATTCAAGGCAGCGCTTTTGGAGAGGGATTTTGGAGGCATTTGGAAAATTAGGAAAACCTTTTGAAAACAAATCAAGCAATTTCTATAGGTATTAATGGTGTAAGGAAAGTTAGTTTGCCTGTCTACCCAAAGCTTTGTAATAGGCCCTTAGATGGGCTGTTAGGGAGAGGTTAATCTCAGAGTTGTTTAAAGCTAGAATCCTTAGTTGCTACATACATTTTTGGACTTATAAATGTATGGTATATACCCATTTGATTCTTGAAGAATATGACTTATAAATGCCTCATGAGCTTAGTTCAACTGTCATACCCCATCCGAACCCAAAATATAAGCTTGTTTTACTCAAATGTTTGTAAACAATCAAATGTAAACAAACCGTGTATAGCCTCAAAACATGGTTAAAGCTATCCTTTTGATATCATGGATGGCCAGTTCTTGCATCCGTCGGTCTGTCTATGAATTTGAGAGTGGGAACATTTATCCAGGCCCATCCCTCAGCTTTTTACCAAAACAGAGGTGGGAAGACCACTTTGTTATTGATTCAAAGATGGGAAGGAAAACGGCCACTGTCTGAGCAAGAGCAGGCCTGGTAACCCAAACCTCAAGTTTGCCTTCCCCTCTACCCTTATTTACTCGTCCGTGGAGATATTCCGTAGAAGGATGGAATCATTCCACAGGAAATGCCTTTTAACACGGCGAGGGTAATGCAGGAAGGAGAAACCTTAGCCTTTGGTTTCCATCTTTTTTGTTTCTCTTTAATCCCATTACCAGTGGCTGGCCCAGTCAGAGGCTGAGTCTGTGTTTGTGTTGGGCTGGGTTCAGTCCGCCCGCAGCACAGCGCTCGCTGGTCCCTCTCATACTCTCCTCCATTGGGTCTATGTAGTGAGTTACCTCTGTGCTGCCTGAACCCAGTTAATCTAAGGGGTTAAGCCAAAACTGTGTCAAGTCTGCCCTGGGAATTCTCAACATAGGAATGGGAGAAAATAAATCGACAGTAAATGAACTTGACTGGTTGGGTTATACTTGAAAATGAACTTTCATGTAATAAAGCACAGCTAATGGTCTAAATAGATTATTCTGCACAGTTGTAGTATTTCGTTTTTTTGTGAAAGATTTGGCTGTTCCGAGTTGGTGGGTTTGAATGTAGGTCTATGTGAATGTAATTGTTTCTATGAATGTACAGAATGTGCCAGCGTATGTGGTTGTGAAGGGGACAGTCTGTCACAGCAGCATGCATACACTACTCTTGCTGTGATCCAGTAGACGTGATTGGCACAACAGCCTCTGTGGTCTGTCTTGGGAGCCCCTGTCTGTCTCTCTGCTCTGCAGGCCAGACAGATTAACAGTCTGCTCTGGTATCTGCAACCGGATCTCCTGCAGCACTGAGCCATTCACCACGCCACACACACATATTGCCATAGCAACAGCACACCACGCCACACACACACACATTGATTGTCACACAGGCATAAATATATGAGGTGCCATTCATAAAGATGGCTCCCGACCACAGAACACACCCTGTCTGCACACACATGCTCTACATACACTATATGTAGTGTATTCCTATTTGGAGTGTGGTTAATATGGCTGCAGTTTAGACTGGAAAGAATGTAAGAAACCAAAGTGCTGTGTGTGTGTGTGTCAGGATCGGGGGGTTTTGCAGCTGACAGGCCATTCTGGGGACCAGGGCTCAGGGCCATAGCTCTGCAGCTGCCCCCTCTCTGTGCCCTCTTTGATAGGCAATATGGTGTTTACTCCCCTTCCCCCTGGCCCACCCCTCTCCCACACACAGACTTCTGCTAAGAGTGCTTGTGACGATTATCATAATGTCATCCGTCACTTAATCTAAAGACATGCCTATATGAAGGACCAGACATTGATTATGGAACAGTTTATGAGAAGCACTTTTATTATTGTATAATGTGGGTTAGCACAGTTATTGATGTGTGCTGGTATATGTACATTTATGTTTATGATCTGAACATGGGTGTATTGTAATGCTTGCCTTGTGATGTTAATTGATCATTGTGACATGTCAGGTTCTCATTGGTCAGAGGCATGATAGGTAGTCCTATTTAGATCCTGTCATTTCCTGGTTAGAGCCGAGGACAGGGTAAGGTCGGCATGCTGCCGAGTTAACAGGCAGTGTTGAGGCCTGGGTTTTATTTTGAGCGCTCTTTGATTCAGTTCAGTTTTGATATTTTGTTCTACGTCCAGTTTCTTTTCTTTCGTAAATATTGTACGTTTCGCCTGCATTATTCCTCACTTTCAAATAAAAAGCCTCACTGGGCAAGAAAAGTCTATCTGCTGTTGCCTCCTCAATGTAAAATCCAACCGCTGGCTCAATCTGACAGGGCTGTAAAATATGAAAAACACATTGCATTGGACCAATTGATCCAGCTGAGACCTTACTAGGAGTCACTGTAATGTAGTATGGATTGCTTTTCCTTGAGTGGGCAGAGTGGCTGGTATTGTGATAGTTAAAATTCATCCAACAGTGTGGGGATTTGAATAGCAGACGAGACATCCCCCAACTGTAATCAGACAAAGAGCCATCCGTTGTTTAATTGGCCAAACAGACTTCAGTCAGGTTTAACCTCTTCTGTTTATCTTGAGGATAGATCTGTTGCACCTGTTTTTCTCTCTGCTGTTGATCTGTGTACACACAGCCGCCTGTATGTCGCCAGGTGTCAAGTCCGCTATTTGAACTGGGCTTGTCAATACAAGGCTGTTGCATCTTTACAGGAATCGGTACTGAACGTAATAGGTAGCCAGGAGGCCTGCATCAAAGCATGATTCATTGTTTTGACTGTTTTCTTATATGTTATCATTTGAATCTTTCCACACGAAAAGGTCTTCCTCATAGGCAATATTTTTCTAATTTCTTTCATCACTGAGCAAATCTCAGGTCTGGGTTTTAACAGTGGTCAAGTTGGCTACTGTGGCTATTTGATCATAATGTAGGCCTACCAGAGTGACCTACCATCAAAAACAATGGAGAAAATGCCTCCTATAACATTTTAACATGGAAATAGCTGTTCTATCATTCAGCCTACAGTAGCAGTGACTGTGTGGTGTTCAATGTAGGCCTACATTCCATGAGACTTTTGAAAAATATATGCAGGGCTTGAAATTAACCTGTTTAACTGAAAATGTTATTGTATTTGATGCAAGAAACCACTTTACAAAATAAAATGCATCATTATTCCCATACCATTATTACAGAGAATCAGGCAAATTATGCTACCCTCTGCCTATTGGCTACTTTTAGCTTATTCAAGCCTGTCTCAAAATACAACACTGCCCCTTTAAGACAAAAAAAAGCTCTTTACCTGACACTCTTTTCAAAGATGTCTAGAAATGCACACGTTTGTGCTCTTGTAGGAAGCAATTACTCCCCCATTGCTGACTACAAATTATCTATAACTGGGCTAATAACTCCCTAACTAGCAAAGGATATGAACACATGTACAAATGTGCACACGTCGCTACATGTAGCTCTTGCTTTGATCTCAAAACAAGAGCATCTACCTATGACCGATGATGCTGTAAAAACAGTCCAGTTCAAAGTTAATGGCACAGATCCATATATGGCAATGGTCTATTTGCATATACAGTAACAGTCAAAAGTTTGGACACCTACTCATTCAAGGGTATTTCTTTATTTTTACTATTTTCTACATTCTACATTCTACATAGTTTTGAATACATCAAAACTATGAAATAACACATGGAATCATGTAGTAACCAAAAAAGTGTTAAACAAATCAAAATATATTTTATATTTGAGATTCTTCAAAGTAGCCACCCTTTGCCTTGATGACAGCTTTGCACCCTCTTGGCATTCTCTCAACCAGCTTCATGAGGTAGTCACCTGGAATGCATTTCAATTAACAGGTGTTCCTTTTTAAAAGTTAATTTGTGGAATTTCTTTCCTTCTTAATGCATTTGAGCCAATCAGTTGTGTTGTGACGAGGTAGGGGGGCTACACAGAAGATAGCCCTATTTGGTAAAAGACCAAGTCCATATTATGGCAAGAACAGCTCAAATAAGAAAATAAGAAAAGAGAAACGACAGTCCATCATTACTTTAAGACATGGAGGTTAGTCAGTACGGAAAAGTTCAAGTACTTTGAAGGTTTCATCAAGTACAGTCGCAAAAACTATCAAGCGCTATGATAAAACTGGCTCTCATGAGGACCGCCACAGTAAAGGAAGACCCAGAATTACCTCTGCTGCAGAGGCTAAGTTCATTAGAGTTAACTGCACCTCAGATTGCAGCCCAAATAAATGCTTCACAGAGTTCAAGTCACAGACACATTTCAACATCAACTGTTCAGAGCAGACTGCGTGAATCAGGCCTTCTTGATCGAATTGCTGCAAAGAAACCACTACTATAGGACACCAATAATAAGAAGAGACTTGCTTGGGCCAAGAAACATGAGCAATGGACATTAGATCGTTGGAAATCTGTCCGTCTGTCTGATGAGTCCAAATTTGAGATTTTTGGTTCCAACCGCCGTGTCTTTGTGAGACACGGAGTAGGTGAACGGATGATCTCCGCATGTGTGGTTCCCACCATGAAGCATGGAGGAGGAGGTGTGATGGTGTGAGGGTGCTTTGCTGGTGACACTGTCAGTGATTTATTCTGAATTGAAGGCACCCTTAACCAGCATGGCTACCACAGCATTCTGCTGCGATACGCCATCCCATCTGGTTTGGGCTTAGTGGGACTATCATTTGTTTTTCAACAGGACAATGACCCAACACACCTCCAGGCTGTGTAAGTGCTATTTGACAAAGAAGGAGAGTGATGGAGTGCTGCATCAGATGACCTGGCCTCCACAATCACCCAACCTCAACCCAATTTGAGATGGTTTGGGATGAGTTGGACCGCAGAGTGAAGGAAAAGCAGCCAACAAGTGCTCAGCATATGTGGGAACTCCTTCAAGACTGTTGGAAAAGCATTCCTCATGAAGCTGGTTAAGAGAATGCCAAGAGTGTGCAAAGCTGTCATCAAGGCAAAGGGTGGCTACTTTGAAGAATCTCAAATATATAAAATATACTTTTTTTTTTGGTTACTACATGATTCCATGTGTGTTATTTTATAGTTTTGATGTCTTCACTATTATTCTACAATGTAGAAAATAGTAAAAATAAAGAAAAACCCTTGAATGAGTAGGTGTGTCCAAACTTTTGACTGGTACTGTAGGCCTACTGCTGCTCTGATTGGTTATGGCGCACCGGTTTGTGTAGAGTATGGCCTGAGTTGTGCCTGTCAATGCAATAGAATCCTACTCCGACGTGTTCTGCCTACAACAAAATCTCTTGCAGAGTTAGTTTTGTTTCGGTATGTTGCATTTGAAGTGGCTAATATTATGTTCATTCAATCACAATTCCCACAGTAAAGGGAAATGTTGATAGTGTTAACTAACGGGGAAAACTCTAGAAAGTTGAGTGAAGTTCAATCTTGTGTGCAGCTTAGAGGGAACATTGCTTTAGGTGATCTTTGTCTAATCAATGGATCCTCTCTCTCTCTCTCTCTCTGTCTATCTCTCTCTGTCTCTCTCTCTCTCTCTCTCTGTCTCTCTCTGTCTCTCTCTGTCTCTCTCTCTCTCTCTCTGTCTATCTCTCTCTCTCTCTCTCTGTCTCTCTCTGTCTCTCTCTCTCTGTCTCTCTCTCTCTCTCTCTCTCTCTGTCTATCTCTCTGTCTATCTCTCTGTCTCTCTCTCTCTGTCTCTCTCTGTCTCTCTCTGTCTCTCTCTCTCTCTCTCTCTCTCTCTCTCTCTCTCTCCTCTCTCTCTCTTCTCTCTCTCTCTCCCCCCCCCCCCCCCCCCCCCCCAGGGCTGGATGACAGCCTGCAGCAGTATGTGGCTAACTTTGAGCGGGAGAAAATCAGCGGGGAGCAGCTGCTGAAGATCTCCCATCAGGACCTAGAGGAGCTGGGTGTGGCCCGCATTGGACACCAAGAGCTGGTGCTGGAGGCCGTTGACCTGCTCTGTGCTCTGGTATGGGGTTCTCACACCACATCTCTTTGTCTCTCTCTCTCTCCTGCAGGTCAATAGGTTGTTTCTCGTTTAAAATAAGATCATGACAGTGTGAAAAACAGTTGGTGGGACCAGGAGCTTGCTGGTTGTTCAGTGAGGCTCACTGGAGATGGCGCTTAGGTCATCAGCCCTGCTGCTCCCCCCTCGCTTTCTCAGTGCTAGCGTGTGTTTGAAATATACCCAGAATATAGTTGTCAGCCAACGGAACCAGTGGTGCAGAACCTCTCTCATTTCCCACAAAGCTCAGTGGGGTGTAGAACACTGCTCCAGGACATTAGAGTAGGAAAAGTGATCAGTTTCACTCCAGAGATGGAGGAAAATCAAGCTCTTTATTCAGGCTGTAGGGGCCCCAGGTCTGGTGTGGTGGTTAAATGTGAGCTGATGATTAGTTGTGCATTTACATTTTAGTCATTTAGCAGACGCTCTTATCCAGAGACTTAGTTAGGACACATTCCCACAGATAGGGAAGCAGGACATGAAAAGGATAAAGAGGCGAAATGGGTTAGTGTGCTTGCTTTCGGTCTTTCTCAATTTTTCTCTCCCTTTTGTTTCTCTCTCTCTCTCACACACACCACACACACACACACACACACACAAATAAATGTCAGGTCAGCTGTTACATTCCCAGTGCACTCCTGGCCTTGGCTTTTTGTCACTCACCCCAGTGGCTCATGGGAACGCCGCTACAGCCTTCTAGCTGGGCTGGGATCTGACCGGGCGACCGGCCGTCCATCAGAAGAGCTGCCAGGAGAAGAGTCATGGTCAACACGACTGTCTTAAAGCTCAGAGAGAGAGGTGAGAGGGAGAGACAGAAAGACTGGGATAGAGCCTCTCCTAAAACATAAGCTCAGACTGAAACAGAACCAGGTTTTCAAACAGATGGGATTTATTTGGGTTTTTATCGCTTCCTGTGTCATATAAGCCCAGATTGCGGTCTTAAGTTTTGATCAGTGTCAGCGTTTTTTAGTCAAATCCTTATGCTCCTTTAAAATGGCTCGCATTAATGATTTGTCCTCTTATCAAGTTCCTAAAAAGAGCATATCCATTTAGATTTTATCCTCCCTGATTTTGTATTTATTCTATAAAGAAGGAAGTTCATGACTTGAAGCAGTAGACCAACAGGTTACTGTACCCAACCATATCTAATTTTGCAGGCATTGGACCACCACCTAAATGCCTGAGGGGCCTGGTGTGGTTTAGAAAGGTCTTGTGGGAGTGTGTGCTGGTCTGTGGTTAGACACAAGTCGTGTTCGTGCCCTTAACATCTGATCCTGGTTAGTTTGCTCCTAATGTTTAAGGTTGAGATTCAGATGAGGAGATTAACCTCAGCATGGTAGCTGCCAGTCTGAGTGCCCTGAGCCCCATGTCTGTGTCCAGCTGTGGGCCCCTTATCCTGGGATGGTCCGACACAAGGCCAGAGACGGACCTCTGAAGTCTGTGGTTCCTTGATTCATCATCTCTAGGGAATATTCATAGGGATGTATTGTTGGATAGTGTCTGAGCATCCCTCTCTGGAGCAGAGATGGTGATAGCAGCTTGAAGAGATAAGCCCCTAGGCGGTAACGTTACTGTGGTCATTGGGAATGGATGGACACATGGAAAAGCTTATTACAGGGGTAGAGGGTATGTCTAATGCTTTGATTAATCTATGTGTCGTACCTTATTTACCATACCGTACATCCTGCAGCCCAGCATCCCTTCCTCTGCTCAGGGTAATTGGGCCCAGATTTCTGCTCATCCCCTGCAATTTACTGGAGCCTCAAATTTTCTCTTGAAGGGCTTCATAAATTTAACCCGTGTTCCCTTGTTTCCCCAGCGTGTGTTTGTTGGCTTTAATACATCTTCCCCCAGTGCAGGGCCTCTGTTATTTCTCAAAATAAGTTGAAAGTCTGTTGGGAGAGGATAGTTATGTTATGGAACTCAGACAGAGAGGATGTTTAGTCGCACTTGTTTCCCCCGCTAGTGACCCTGAGTTTGGAATGCCTGGAACGCTCCTCACACCTGTGATTGAGGAACCCTGGGTAAACTAGCTGGTCTGCTGTGGCTCTTCTTATTAAAAGGGATGGGAATTTAAAATGATTTCACTATTCGAGTGAATTGCATTTTTTCAGATATCTGGATAGTCGAAATACATGTTTTAAAGAAATACTTTTTTTTGTTCAACTTCAATGGGGACTTGCTCGCGCGACTCAGGAGAGGCGGTGCACTCTGCTTGTTGTTTCAGCACAGATGGGTCGCGAGAGGAGCAGGGGCCGGTGTGTCTGACACGGGGAGAGAAAAAGTAGCCAAACCGACTCGCGCAAGTTAGATAACTTATCGCATCTGGTAGTGTCTGTCTTGACTGCATCAAATTGGTGTAAAGAAACTAGCTTGCTACACTAGCCAGCTAAGTTAGTTAGCTAGCTAGCTAGCAAGGCTAATTGAGGCTATTTTGCTGCGCTTTCCGCGTCCTTGTCTACAACAACTTCATTCATATTAAACAACAGCCTTCCTGATGGTTGATTGTTGTAGCCTACTCCTTCTCATTTAACTAACTTAATTCCATAATTGCAATTCCATTTAGCATTGATTAGAAATCTCCCACTTCACTTGCTACACATGGAGCCTCTGACGGTAGTGTTGTTTTATTGACCAACTATAACAAGCTACACAGGTGAAAAGTGTGTAGGCTACCAGTACGTCTTTTTTATGGGGCGCACTCATAACTCTCATAAAACTGTTGTTTTATTAACATTTATAATGTCATGGTCTATCCTAGGATGTAGCAATTTCAAATGGATAATTAAATAAGATTTTAGACCAAGCCTTTTCATAAAAATTAATACTCTCACAAGTAATAGAATACTAACGTCAGTTCGGATATTCAAATAACCGTGCCCATCCCTACTTATTAACAGAGAGGCCTCTCTCTCTCACTGGCCCCGCGGGAGAGGTCACGGCTTATGAGGGGAACACACAGCCGACAAACAAGAGACCCCCTCGCACTCACACACTGTCGCCAGCCAATTCCCCCCTCATTAGTTTCTCTCTGCTGTGGGGTCAAATGGTTCAAGTCCAACTCTTCTCTTTGTGGTCACACAACAGTCCTTTTCAGGGTAGACAGGATATCCCCTGTACTGGTCGTGGAGCCACAGGGTAGATGGTCAGGAGATGGCCATGAGATGGTCTGAACCTTCTCTGTTTCTGTTGAATACTCTTGGAGAGCATGTTCTTGCGTCAGGTCTGTGTATTTGTTCTCATCTTATAAATGAGTAGAACCTTGTATCACATGTCTTAGCTTGACTCTCATAGAGTTCCTCCCCCTCAACAGGATGTTAGACAGGCTGATTTACCGTAGCCCTTCAGTACCGCTCAGATTACAGCTCACACCAGGCAAAAGCCATCAGAGCGAACTGGTCTCTGGAGACGGACGAAGAACATGTTGATTAATCAAACTGGGACTCTCAAGTCAAAACCATGATGACTTCTGCAGAGACCCATCTTGAAACCCAACACCTCTGATTTTCTTTGGAACCCCAGTGGCCTGCTCACAGGAGAAGAAAGAGCCCACATATTGTCTTCCAGAGCCATGGAATAGATATTAAAGACGCAGCAGCCAAGTAGTGTGTGGAAACTGCTGTGATTGGTGTTTTACTGTCCACTGTGGACCTGTCCCCTGGAGGAGCGTACCTATCTCCTCAGGAGCAGGAAACAGATGTGGGCCCCCACCTGGCTGATAGACAGGTCTGGCAACACCCCCCTGTCTGTTGTGGAGGGCTGTGGGAACGCCCATATTGGGCCGTGTTCCTGCCGTGTTCCTCTGGTCGTGTCAGGTGAAGCGTATCGTGGGGGCCCCTGCGGTGAGGGTCCAGAAGAACCTGTGTTGTGATAGCTCTCCTCGGGTCTCCTGAGGACACTTGTCAGGAGACAGGACCTATCTGTAGGCCCAAGCAGATCCTGCTCCCAACAGTCACTTTGAAATGGAGTGAATTTGATTTGAAACACACATTATTTACCTGGTCCCTGTTCCTATAAGTTGCCACAGCTATGGAACAAAGAGGTGTTGAACATCTGCATACCAGTCAGAGCTGGTGTTTCTGTGTGTTATTGGCCCACCAATGACAAAGCCAGCAGTGCTGTTTGATGTTGATTGGCTCTCCACGGCTTATTGTCAAAGCCACACTGTTTTGGTTCAACACAGTTGCTGTGTCTTTTCATGGACGAGTGTGGGGTTTCAGAGCCTCTGAGATATTTATATGCACCTTCTCTCCATCTCTTCTCCTGGTATAAATCTGCTTAAGGTTCATGAGATTCCCATTATGACCTCAAAGGCTCTTCGTGTCTCGGTGGACCTCTGAAAGAGACGTTTGGATGTTTGATTTACCAACTGAGATTGAGGAAATTTAACATGCTCTGTCAGTTTGCACATTTGGCTGCTGCCTCAGCCCCATGCAGCTCCGTGGGGACGACTTTAGGATGAGGTAAGTAATATATAATCAGTTCCTGAGTAAATGCTCCTGATATAAAACGGCAGCTGAGTGGAGTTAGCCGCTGATCACTTGCAGGTTTCCTCAGTGTGGAGCAGGGCCGAGCAAGCGCAGGCTATTTTCTGCACTTTAGCGTGTTTAGCCGTTAGCGTGCCAGTCAGGCTGAGGCCAGCAAGGCTGGCAGGGATGCAACACCATGTGAGCTGATATTTGCCAGAACAGGAGATTAGGCTACCCCCCTCTCGTCTCATTTAACTAGCGCTCCACTCCAAACACATTCTTTCCGCAATATTTAAGTGGAGCGTGCGTGAGTTGCCAGGATTAGTTGCTAAATTAAGCCATCCTAAATTAAGCCACACAGAAGTGTTTTTAATGCAGCGCTACACTAAGCAGAGCCGGCAGCTGACTGAGGTCATGATGAATGTGGCCATCATGATGTTTGATGAGAGCATTAGTCTGAACCTGACCATAGGTCAGTGTTCAATCCCATGCTCCCTGAGATCAGACACAGTGCTCGCAGTGAAATGTACTGCACAGTCCCCTAGGTGATAAACTCACCATATGACAAACTGTAGCTATACGCTATGACAGAGAAGGCTTTGTGAGGCTCTGCGGATGCTTACGTAAAGAAATGCAACTTGGCCTGCTCATACTGTACTAACAAAACTGTTAATGTACATCTAAAGCTTTATGTCATACAAAATATGTTAGCTATGTGGGGCTGTTTAGTGAAAATACACAGGGGAGTATCCCTGTAGGCAGAGCAGAGCTAGGGCCATAGGGCAGGTACAGGACATAACTTTGGCCTCAAATAAGGGATTTCTTTGGCCATTAGTAGGCATTATATATTATAGGTATTTTCAGGGTCATAAACTCAATAGAGGAAATATCTTTCTACGCAGTTGGAAGTAATAACTAGGTTGGGTGTGTTAGTCAATCATGTGCCTAATCACTTCCCCTGGAGCAGCTCGGTGAGGTCAGGGTTGTAAGGGCAGTAGGAATAAACAGTAGACAAAGCAGTAGCCTAAGCACATACAGATCTGGGGCCAGGCTTACGCTTCTGCCCTCAATTTACACTTCTGCCCTCAACTTACGCTTCTGACCTCAACTTACGCTTCTGACCTCAACTTACGCTTCTACCCTCAACTTACGCTTCTGCCCTCAACTTACGCTTCTGCCCTCACTTACTGGCTCAGGAATGTCAACTTTGCTTGCTTGATGGGAATCAGGTGATGGCATGTGCACCGTGCACGCCTCCCTCCCGAGGGTTGAGCCAGACGTGCCTGAAGAATGCAGGGGAATTTCACCCCAGAGGTGCTGGTAGAGACATGGCCTCTTAAATCATGTGTATCTTAGCACATCACAATTAATAACCCACATTTACACTGCAGGAAACATGTTTGTCTGTGAAATGAAATCCAGAGCCGTAAAAATCTGGAAAATCAGTTCCGATCAGGAATGCTTTGTCCCAAAAATGTATTTGACGTGAACTGTAATCACCGTAACATACACATTATTTTATGACTAAAACTATAACTTTGATATATCTATCTCAAGCTCAACTTCTGTTCTTTCTTCCCCTCTCAGAACTACGGAGTGGAGACAGACAACCTGAAGGGTCTGGTGGTGAGGATGAGAGTGGCCACCAACAGCCTGCACATGTCCACGTCAGACCGCAGGAAGAGTCCGACATACAACGGCAGCACCTCCAGGAAACCCCCCAACGACTTCCTCACCTCCGTGGTGGAGCTCATCGGAGCTGCCAAGAGTCTCCTGGCCTGGCTGGACAGGTAAGGCCTCGCACAGCATTCTGTCACCCCGAGAAAAAAACCATTCAGTGTACTCTATTTGTATGTACAGAGTAGGGTTACCATGGTAACTTTGCATAGCTGTCCTAGCTACATAAAATCTGCTATATACATTCAAGCTCCCGGACTACCATTGGGGTTAGCTGTAATGTTAGCATTTCCTTAGGAGTCATTAAGCTCACTGAATCACCTCATGACTAGAATATGCTGCTACGCTACACAATACAGGCATTGGTTTCTCCTCAGCCTCTACAGACTATACCAGAAACACAGCTCTTCTCTCTCAGGAGAGCCTTCTAGAAAGGGTTTGAGGACATATAAATGAAATTGGATACAGTCTGGTGGGTTTCCTCTACCTCTGTCTAGTCATTGTCAAGAGAATATCCAGATGAGCTGTAAGAATCAATCATCAAGAATCTCCACATACTCTACTGCTCATGTACAATGCTGATTATTTTCATAGCATTTGTTTTAACAATCACTCTCTCCCCATCTGTCAGTTAAAACTAAACCAAAAGTAGTATTTATTGAAGGTAGTAGTATTCATGTCACCATGTTGACCTTCACAGCTGAAAGGATTTGTTGTTTTCGGAGGTTTGTTTCCAGATCAAAAGTGTAATGTGATGAGTTCTCCCAGCATATTTGGGGGTGGCATGGTGTTGAGGGGCTAGCGGTAGGGAGATGTGTTTTGGAGTTCAGGGGTGCGTATTTGAGAGAAGGAATGGAGAAGGAGGCACCTACATGGAGACAGACTGTGTTCCTTCCAACCATTGCCTTCTATCCCAGGCACACGCAAAGCAGAGCAAGGTTCACCAGTACTGTTGTTTTCCCTATTAACAGCCTCCTAGAGGTGGCTCCATGTCACGCTGTTGTCCCACTGTGATATTTACTCCCTTATCGCATTTCAGTACGGTCAGGGACATGACCTGGACCTTAGGATGTCATGATAAAATGGCCTCTCAATCTTTTCTCTTCTCTCTCGTTGCAGGACGCCCCTGACTGGGATCAGTGACTTCACCACCACCAAGAATAAGATCATTCAGCTGTGTCTGGACCTCACCACCACAGTTCAACAGGTCGGCACGCTCTCTCGCTGGCTCTCCCTCCCCTCTCTCCCTTTTTCTCTACCCCTCTCTCTTGCTCCAGCTCCCTCTCAACAGTGCACGTGCAGCTTGCCACTGGAAAAATCACCCCATAGCTCTTTCCACTCAGGGCAGACTAGCCTGAGGGCAGACACATGTAGGATCACATGTAGGATTAAGTAGAAGAGCAGGGGGTTATGAACATCGCAGCCTGCTTCTGCTGTTTTGTTTGTGGTTTCCTCCTAAGGTTAGCTAATGAGGAGACACCCCCCCCCCCCCCCAACCATGGTGGTGTTTAACGGCAATCGCAGCCACTGCGTTTACACTTTAATGAAAACCTCTGGCGCTCTTTAAAAAGCATCTGCCAACATTATGCGGGCTGCATTATTCCCTGCGGCCATGTGGTTCCTATTTGCCTGCTGCAAGATGTTCACAGCGGGAGAGTCTACTTTCTGTGTGTACATCCTGTGGAGGATTAATGCACAGTGGGTTGAGGAGGTGGTACGGTGGTCTCCTTCACTGACACTTATTAGATGTTTACCTCACCTTAAAAGCAGCAAATCAGCGAACATCATTCCAGGTTAAATGTGTGTTTGATTTGACCATGGGTTGTCAGGTTGTTAAGATCTATTTTTATCATATTTCTAGAATTAATATTTCCAGTTTGTTGTCCAAACTGGTTATGTAAGAGTCAGCTCTGAAAGAAAACAAACGAAGCCAGTTAAAGACCCAAGCACAGAGACATTTCCCACAAAGGCGTTTGAAGTGAATTGTTTTTGTGTGGCGTGAGCCTTGTGCTCCACAGCTTTGCTGTGGTGTACTGTAGCAGACACCTTGGCCTCCATGGCACTCAGCTGTGTGAGAGACCCAGGTGGATATGTCTTCAGTCCACCCAGGGGCCACCTTATGCTGTCATAGACACATGCAGAAAGATGCCTCCAATGCTCTCATAGACCAGTGTATCTCACATAGTCTTTAGACACTCCTGGACTCTCCCGATAGATTTCGGGGAGGTGTTTGTCTGATGAAAGACCAGGCAGGTATTGAGGGGAAGTATCACTGTGATTTTATGGTGTGGGCATGCTTCATGAGGTTACACAGCCTGTTCATGAACCTTCGCCAAGAACAGAGCTTTTAGGATGCCTGAATGAACTCAATGTATATACACACAATAGAGCACAGCAATAAAACAGCCAACATGCAGCCATTGCAGCCATCTCATCTGACCCGTGAGGTCAGAGCTCTGGCTTCTGCATAAAGGGTCAAACAAGGTGTGGGTAACACTGAGTGATGAGGTGGAGAAAGATTGTAGGAGGAAGGGATGTCTGGAGGGCAGGTCTGAGTCCTCACATGGTGTTTTGATTTCTTGTTCTGTAAGATCCTGTTCTCATCTGTCCAGTCTGGTCAGCTGTATAACCGGCTCCTTGTTGAACTGGTGTGCCAGCAGTCTTCTCTTTTTGCCACTTCATCGCTCGGCTGGACAAATTGTCTCTGGTTACAGATCAAAGGCTGCAGGGCCGTCTGGGGAGTCATCTGATCCCAGTCTGCTGGCATGAGGAGGCTGAGGATTCGCTGCTTTACCCAGGGAACCTTTCCTCAGTCTTTCCCTCTGATCTTGGTTTCTATATGGCTTAGGTATGAAGACTGCTTCTGTTCTGTTTTTGATAGTTTGATGCTTCAAGGGATTGTGTCAAAAAACACAGATCTGAAAGAGATTATGCCAAAGAGCATTATATTCACATTATGTGATCATTTGCTACTTTTGATATAAAACAGTCTGCATGTAAGAAAGAAGTTTGGCACAGTTTACACAAATACAATCTGAAGCATATTATGATACTGTTAGTAAATGTTTTTGACCTCAAACCTACTAAATCTGTCTTTTTAGCATATCCGTTTTTGGCATGTAAAATGCATTTCAGCTTGATGTAGTCATCCAAATATAGACCTATTTATGGCAAAAATATGTACCAGTTTGTGATGGAGGTCATGCCAAATTCCTTCTAAAACCACTGCACATCCTTGGCCGTGTTGGAAAGTAATTGAGGGGAAACATTGTGTTTTGGTACCAAAACTGAAACCAACGTATTTTATGCTTATTAGTTTTCCTCCATGTTTGTTCTGGTGGTTTCTCTAGTTAAAGAAAAATATAGTTTTATATGTGCATCAGTATCCCAAAAGACAACACTCAGCTCAGTGCAGATCATAAGATGATTCTAGAGAGAGAAAGAAACTCCTGTCCCTAAAGGACAAACCAGTTCTCTGCTGTAGTCCGCCTCCGTGGTTTTCAAAGATAAGCTGGCAAATCTTGTCCATTCAAACACAACAATGGGCTGACAAGCCAAGTGCATTTGCACACAGATTCTCCTCCCCCTTGGGCCAGGGGAATATGGAAATGGTCAGTCGTCTCCCATACGTTGTCTGCACAAAGGATTTACAAAGAGCAACAGAGCTGCCTTTGTGGATAATAATGTCCACACACAACAACTTTACTACGAGGAGACAAATCCTGGCTCCTCAAGTTCTTGTTTGTTGACATTGAGCACCACAGTGGCAGTGACCAATGGTTGTCCCTGACACCTCAACATAAGTCACTGACCTGTCTGACTCCATAAGTTATTAACTCACATTTCACCTGTGAGTTGAGGGACAGCTGCCTTTTGGGACATTCACTGCAGAGAGGCCATGCCATAGCCAGGCAGGGGAGCCACAGCAGTGGCTCAGTAACAGTGGCCCCCTCTGAGCAGGGGTCCTTTCACCACCGGGACCCTCCAGTCCCCCAGCTTTCTGGCGAGGCTGTTATATCAGCTTTGAGCCCAGGCAGTCCCAGCTACAGTCTGGGAAGGGAAGGAGGATCCTGGGATAGGGCCAGGGCTGAGGGGCTTCTGTCTGTGGCTGGTTACTGTAGGATGTTCCCGGCTTCTCCTGTTCCCTGGTAGTCACACAGGAGCTACTGTTACTGCAGGAGAAACTTGCATACCTATCACTCGGAATCACCTTTATTCGCCAAGTACATTTACAAATACTCAGAATTGTACTTGGTGATGTGGTGTTGCTGGTGATGGACAACATTTAGAGACAGAATACAGACCGCAGAGTTTAAGCAAAGTTTACATACATTATATACAACTAAGTAGTGAGCATAGAGCTACAGTGGGGAAAAAAAGTATTTAATCAGCCACCAATTGTGCAAGTTCTCCCACTTAAAAAGATGAGAGAGGCCTGTAATTTTCATCATAGGTACACGTCAACTATGACAGACAAAATGAGAAGAAAAGAAATCCAGAAAATCACATTGTAGGATTTTTAATGAATTTATTTGCAAATTATGGTGGAAAATAAGTATTTGGTCAATAACAAAAGTTTCTCAATACTTTGTTATATACCTTTTGTTGGCAATGACACAGGTCAAACGTTTTCTGTAAGTCTTCACAAGGTTTTCACACACTGTTGCTGGTATTTTGGCCCATTCCTCCATGCAGATCTCCTCTAGAGCAGTGATGTTTTGGGGCTGTCGCTGGGCATCACAGACTTTCAACTCCCTCCAAAGATTTTCTATGGGGTTGAGATCTGGAGACTGGCTAGGCCACTCCAGGATCTTGAAATGCTTCTTACGAAGCCACTCCTTCGTTGCCCGGGTGGTGTGTTTGGGATCATTGTCATGCTGAAAGACCCAGCCACGTTTCATCTTCAATGCCCTTGCTGATGGAAGGAGGTTTTCACTCAAAATCTCACGATACATGGCCCCATTCATTCTTTCCTTTACACGGATCAGTCGTCCTGGTCCCTTTGCAGAAAAACAGCCCCAAAGCATGATGTTTCCACCCCCATGCTTCACAGTAGGTATGGTGTTCTTTGGATGCAACTCAGCAATCTTTGTCCTCCAAACACGACGAGTTGAGTTTTTACCAAAAAGTTATATTTTGGTTTCATCTGACCATATGACATTCTCCCAATCCTCTTCTGGATCATCCAAATGCACTCTAGCAAACTTCAGACGAGCCTGGACATGTACTGGCTTAAGCAGGGGGACACGTCTGGCACTGCAGGATTTGAGTCCCTGGCGGCGTAGTGTGTTACTGATGGTAGGCTTTGTTACTTTGGTCCCAGCTCTCTGCAGGTCATTCACTAGGTCCCCCCGTGTGGTTCTGGGATTTTTGCTCACCGTTCTTGTGATAATTTTGACCCCACGGGGTGAGATCTTGCGTGGAGCCCCAGATCGAGGGAGATTATCAGTGGTCTTGTATGTCTTCCATTTCCTAATAATTGCTCCCACAGTTGATTTCTTCAAACCAAGCTGCTTACCTATTGCAGATTCAGTCTTCCCAGCCTGGTGCAGGTCTACAATTTTGTTTCCGGTGTCCTTTGACAGCTCTTTGGTCTTGGCCATAGTGGAGTTTGGAGTGTGACTGTTTGAGGTTGTGGACAGGTGTCTTTTATACTGATAACAAGTTCAAACAGGTGCCATTAATACAGGTAACGAGTGGAGGACAGAGGAGCCTCTTAAAGAAGAAGTTACAGGTCTGTGAGAGCCAGAAATCTTGCTTGTTTGTAGGTGACCAAATACTTATTTTCCACCATAATTTGCAAATAAATTCATTAAAAATCCTACAATGTGATTCTCTGGATTTTTTTTCCTCAGTTTGTCTGTCATAGTTGACGTGTACCTATGATGAAAATTACAGGCCTCTCTCATCTTTTTAAGTGGGAGAACTTGCACAGTGGGGAAAACAACTTTTTTTCCCCACTGTATATGGTTGATATACAGTGGCTATATGGTTGATATACAGTGGCTATACGGTTGATATACAGTGGCTATACGGTTGATATACCGTGGCTATACGGTTGATATACAGTGGCTATACGGTTGATATACAGTGGCTATACGGTTGATATACAGTGGCTATACGGTTGATATACAGTGGCTATACGGTTGATATACAGTGGCTATACGGTTGATATACAGTGGCTATACGTTTGATATACAGTGGCTATACGGTTGATATACAGTGGCTATACGGTTGATATACAGTGGCTATACGGTTGATATACAGTGGCTATACGGTTGATATACTGTGGCTATACGGTTGATATACAGTGGATTTACAGTGTCAGTATGAATATCTAAATGCAGAGAGATGAACAGAGTGCAAATGCAGTATAGTGCAGTTATTTTGTGTACAGTTCAGAGATGGCTTGATGTGGTGTGCAGCATAGAGTGCATAGTAATTCAGTCTCTATGGGCCAGATGGTCGGTTGGTGCGGGCCACTGCCCGGGGAATACACTTTTCAGATGGCTGGAGGTTTTGGTCATGAGTGGTCGGCAATGTAGTACATCCGCTTGTGTGCCTTCTTGGTGACCGCTGTGACATTGTCCTCCCACTCGAGGTTGTGGGAGATGATGGTCCCCAGGAATTTTAATGATTCACCTGAGCCATTAATCTCGAGGGGGAGGTGGTGGGGAGTTAACCACCATCTCCACGGTTTTGTCTGTGTATAGTTCCAGGTTATTGCGACTGCACCAGGCCACCAGCCGGTCGACCTCTCCACGGTACATGGACTCATCGCCGTCAGTGTTGAGACCGACCAGAGTTGGATCATCTGCAAACTTTAGTAGTTTGACAGATGCGTTGTTGGAGGTGCAGTCATTGGTGTAGAGGTGAGAGCACGCATCCTTGTGGCGCTCTGGTGCTGAGGGATAAAGAGTCTGAAAGGTGTTTTCCCAGCTTCACGTGTTGTGTCCTGTTGGTCAGGAAGTCAGTGATCCACTGACTGATGGAGCTGGACACATTCAGCTGGGAGAGTATGTCTTGTAGCAGTTCTGGGATGATGTTATTGAACGCAGAGCTAAAGTCCACAAACAATATCCTTGCATATGTCTTTGGGTTATCCAGTTGTTTGAGGATGTAGTGTAGGCCCATGTTGACTGTGTCGTCCACAGACCTGTTAGCTCTGGAGGCCAACTGCACCGGGTTGAGGGAGGCATCAGTGATTGTTTTGAGATGGGACAGTACCAGGCCATCAAAAGGTGATAGAGGATAAAAAGTTAGAGGATCAAATGCATGGGAACCTGAAGTCAATTAAAAAACTAAAATAGTATGATATGTGATTGGAGAGGGGTTTTTGGTCATCTTGAAGTTGGAGGATATGGTTTCTACAATGTAACACTTTGCCTCCTCCTCTCCAAGTTGTGTTTTCTAGATGCAAGGTTCCTTTATTTCCACTGCTCTATAGTTTACTGTAACCCCACACCACGTTATGCAATTATATTGTCCCCAAGTTTATATGGAGATGTAATTTGACTCAGAAAGCTATTTATTTGAGGCCAATCTCCATCTCCCATAGTCCTATATCTGGATCTTTGATTGCATAATATTTACTGACTCACTATACTTAGTTTTTATTTACTATCTTTGCAGGGAAAGAACCTCTTCCTGTGTGTTGATGGAGTATTGAGAAGGCAGCCTATCTAACATCTGTCTCTCCTCCTCCACAGGACTGCGGTGTTTACGAGATGGAAGAAAAGATCCTGGAAGTTGTAAGTATATCTCTCCTCCTTGTTTTGTTTTCTCATGTAAACTTTAGAATGAGTTTCCACTTTCAATGGGAGCACTCTGGTAAAGTCTGTTTGAACGTTTGGGTAGATGTTGAACTCTAATGCTTTATATGGAGATTAGGTGGCATGCTTTCAGCGCAGTCTCCCTCTCAGAGTTAATAGTGCAGGCAGGGGCTTGGGCCCTCTGGTAAAGGCAGCTAAAATATGCCCCGGCCATCAATCAGTGTTTCCTGTCCCTGACACTCCAGGTTCTACAGCTGACACTGAACTTCCTCCCTCTCAGACACCGTCGGTGAACTCTGCTGCAGACACACACACAGTAGCTAGATCTCAATCTCTACACTGTTTAGAAGTCTTCTCCATGTCGAACTTGTTGTTCAAGTAACTGCCTCAGAAAAACTCTTCTAGTTATAGCCTGGTCCCTATCATTGGTGAATATTCTGAAGCGTGTGAGTAGCATTTCACTGATTCTTGTTTGTTTACAAATTCCTGTCAAGGGATCTAGTTATAGACTTGTGTGGTCAACAGAAAATTCAATTAGAGCTAAAATAAGGTTGGTTCAGCGCGTCAGTTGGTTTAACGCGTGCGCATCTGTATGTAAGCACAAATGTGTTGAGTGTTCAGGCATGATGCTTGTTACTCACCTGAGAAGAAAAAGTTATTTATTCTCAGAGCATCACTAACATGCCCCCACTAATGATGACAAGGTGGTGAGATTGTCCATAATGACCTAGAATGGAGAAGAGGGGAGGTAGGCAGGGAGTGAGGGGAAGCATTAGAGACCTGCATGTTCTCAGTGCTATATCTGAAGCTGTGGAACCAGCTAATCGCACGTTAATGACCCTCACCCCTAGTCTCCCCCCTCCTCTTCCCTGGTGGAGTGGGATAATTGCCCCAGAGTGACTGGCTGCTCTTGTCACCAGACTGCCTGGCCGACCTGCCAGCCCACCCCTATAACACTGACTCAACACTGACAGTCACAGAAACAACACCTCTTAGGTGACAGGCGGTAGCTATAGAATCACAGTCACGTAACAGGACATTACATTACTGGGTTGGTCATGTAATCTCAGCCATCGGGAAAGCACATCGAGTCACTGGAAGAGGCAACGAGATGAGATGAGATGGATTCATGAGATTCCATTCAATTTTGTTTTCTTTCTTTGGGTTGTTTGTTTGGTTTTCTTGCGTTGCTTAAATGGGTTTCCTCCGATCTGTCTCGTTGCAGTCAAAGGTTCTGAACAGCATCTGTGACCAGACCGTGAGGACCACCTCTGACCCTCTGATGAGCCAATCGGCATGCTTGGATGAAGTTCAGCTCAACAACCTTAAGCCTGGGGAGGGACTGGTGAGGAATCCTGCCTGCTCTCAGTTTAACCCCAAACCCACTGAACTACTAGCTCAGTGTGTCTGGACCACTAGCTCAATGTGTCTGGACTACTATCTCAATGTGTCTGGACCACTAGCTCAATGTGTCTGGACCACTAGCTCAATGTGTCTGGACCACTAGCTCAATGTGTCTGGACCACTAGCTCAATGTTTCTGGACCACTAGCTCAATGTTTCTGGGCTACTATCTCAATGTTTCTGGACTACTAGCTCAATGTGTCTGGACTACTAGCTCAATGTGTCTGGACCACTAGCTCAATGTGTCTGGACCACTAGCTCAATGTGTCTGGACCACTAGCTCAATGTGTCTGGACCACTAGCTCAATGTGTCTGGACCACTAGCTCAATGTGTCTGGACCACTAGCTCAATGTGTCTGGACCACTAGCTCAATGTGTCTGGACCACTAGCTCAATGTGTCTGGACCACTAGCTCAATGTGTCTGGACTACTAGCTCAAAAGTGTCTAGTGCTCCTCAACTTTCTTACAAGTTCAAACTGTCTCACAACTGTCTCACAAATGCTAATTCATGTTCATATTTCTACAGGGTATGTACATCAAATCTACCTATGATGGACTTCATGTCATCACGGGCACCACAGAGCATGTAAGTATGGTGGCCACAGAGGAACACATGAGTATATCCTAGTGAACGCACCTTCCTAGTGAACGTGCCGTCCTAGTGAACACACCGTCCTTGTGAACACCATCCTGGTGAACATGCCATTCTCTAAATTTCCACCAGTCTTATCTACATGTTTCAATATAAATCCAGTTGGTATAATGTTATGCGTAAACACTAGTTGCCATGTGCCAAGTTTTGATGGGGAGACAGTCAGTGGTGTAAAGTACTTAAGTAAAAATACTTTAAAGTACTACTTAAGTAGTTTTTGGGTGTATCTGTACTTTACTTTACTATTTATATTTTTGACTACTTTTACTTCACTACATTCCTAAAAAACAAAATTCACTTTTTACTCCATACATTTTTCCTTACACAAAAGTACTCGTTACATTTTGAATACTTAGCAGGATAGGAAAATAGTCTAATTCACACACTTATCATGAGAACATCCCTGGTCATCCCTACTGCCTCTGATCTGGCGGACTCACTAAACACACATCCTTAGTTTGTAAATTATATCTGAGTGTTGGAGTGTGCCCCTGGTTATCCATACATTTTAAAAACAAGAAAATCGTGCCGTCGGGTTTGCTTAATATAAGGAATTTGAAATGAGTTATACTTTTACTTTTGATACTTAAGTATATTTTAGCAATTACATTTACTTTTGATACTTAAAGTATATTTAAAGCCAAATACTTTTAGACTTTTACTCAAGTAGTATTTTACTGGGTGACTTTCCAATTTACTTGAGTTATTTTTTATTAAGGTATCTTTACTTTTACTCAAGTATGACAATTGGTACTTTTTCCACCACTGGAGACGGTTAAGGGTGGGCTTCAAACAGTACGTCTTCTTTCCAACCCACCCTGCCCTCCTCCTCCCATTCTAAGGGTGGTCGAGTGCATTATTGTTTGCCACAGAGCTAGGATACCAGTGTAAATGTGTTTCTTATCAAGCAGTGGAGAGAGGGAAGGAGTAGTGTAGGGGTTGAATAATATAGCTGTTCCCATCTCCGTCATCCATTTAAGAATCACAAACTTCAACAGTAAAACATCCTCCTACAGAGGGACACTGTGTAATGTGGCAGCGCTAGCTATTACAGCCTAATTATCACGCCGTCCGTCATTAATCAAACCCTAATTCATCATATATCATGACTCATTAATTGCTTTGACATTCTCATGCAAAATGTGACATGCATAATGTGACAACCCATTCATAAAGAGGATGTTTGTGTTGTGTAGTCAGAATTATATCGAACGAATATTTCCTCAGGGGCTTATGATAATGTGACAACCCATTCATAAAGAGGATGTTTGTGTTGTGTAGTCAGAATTATATCAATCGAACATTTCCTCACGGGCTTATGAAGTGGGTCTGTTTCGTAACAAGCCCATACGTGGCACTTCTGACGATAAAGCAATCACAGATCAATGTGAATTATCCAGGAGCTAATATTACATGTAGATGGTGTCTGTTGGTAGACTAATCTTCTCCTCTGTGATGTCAGTCCCCGGCGGACATGACGAGGAAGATCCATGGAGGTGACGAGGTGATCCAGGTCAACCAGCAGACAGTGGTGAGCACCCAGCACCTGTTATATCCAACACGTGTCACACACACTACTCCTCCAATTGACTACAGTGCTATAGAAGGGTTGAGACTGCACGGCTCAAACGTTCATGTAAAACCCTTGCAGTTCACTACACAGCTACAGAAGGATATATTGCTGACCTTGGCTGTGATGGTACAGTGATATGCTGACGCTGTGTTGTGTCAGGTGGGCTGGCAGCTAAAGAACCTGGTGGGGAAGCTGAGAGAGGATCCTAAAGGTGTAGTCCTACTGCTGAAGAAGAGGCCTACAGGATCCTGCGGGTTCACACCGGCCCCTCTCAAGAACATGCGTTGGAAACCGCCCATGGCGCAGGTGCACATTCTAAACCCCTTCATCTTTTACTTTCATGTACTAACTAAGGCAGTGTGATTGTTATTGTTCATATTACCTTTTGTTAAATGTGCCTTATGAGGGCGTAGGGAGATGTGTTTGATTGTAACAAGCCTAGACAAGTGTAAGAACCACCCAGAGAGAGGGCTGCAGGGCTGAGGACAACAACTACTGTACTCACACAGTGATGATGATGTCACTCAGACTGGGTCATCAGTGGCGGTAGCCAGCAGTCTGTGAGTCAGTCTGCAGAGACAGGAGCTAGCATCTCCTTCAGTGGTGAATAGAAGAGAGGGGAACAAATGTCTGCTTTGAGAGTGGTTTGTGTATGTGTTGTTGTTTGTAGAACCAGATCAACATCTGGCAGTAGTGTAGGGTGGGAATCCCCAGTGATCCATGCTGTATTTATGTGGGTTAGGTCGGCTAGTCAGCTAGCTTCCATAGAAGACAAGTCTCGCAATGGGCCGCTCAATGATTCAGCTCACAAAGGGCTTGGGTACATCCTCTTTTGAGAAGGTCAAAACCTCCAAAATGTGTGTTAGTGGAGACAAGGAGAATCAAGTCTCAGAATGTCCAGAGAAATCCTGTGTTAATAACGTTATGTAATGGTAATCCAATTCACCAGTCTCTCATATGTGGACAGTTAGCACCTGGCTGAGCTCTTAGCCACAGCCAGGCACCTGAGCCCTGACTGCAGTGACTGAGGCTCCATAGGGAACAATACGCTGTTGTAACCTGACCTGTGCTCTGGTCCTGGCACTGCCTTGTCATGCCTCTGGAGGCTGCTTCTGCCCTGGGAAGATCAGAGCACATGATATCAAAGCAGAGCTGGTTTCACTTAACAAAGAACCTCTCATCACAAAGATACCGGATCATTCTGGACTTGTTCACCGCCGTGTTTGAACAAGGTGTCAGGAATCAAAGCACCACGTCTTGGGTTTTATGATAAGAGAGAGGCGTCAGTGTGTTAAACAATGATGGAGCACACAGTGATTCAGGAGTGACACTGGTTTCTACAGGTATCCTGGTTATAGGGGAGGAGGAGGAGAGGGTAGACGTACCAGGATCTAATCTGTTTGATGGAGAGTGAAACTGAACATGGTCAATTTACCAAGTAGTGTGGTTTTAAAATGGCACCATAGCTGTGGTAGAATAGTATGGTTTCTTAAATGTATGTTGCAGCAGCTATTTTGGATTCCCCTCAAAATCCTTCCATTCCCCAAATAGAGTTGTATACAGTGCATTAGGAAATTATTCAGACTTCTTCACTCTTTCCACATTTTGTTACGTTACAGCCGTATTCTAAAATTGATAAAATAAAATAAAAACATCTCATCAATCTACACGCAATACCCAATAATGACAAAGCAAAAACAGGTTACTTATTTGTTTAGCAAATTTATAAAAAACAACTTTAAAAAACAGAAATATCACATTTACATAAGTATTTAGACCCTTTACTCAGTACTTTGTTGAAGTACCTTTGGCAGCGATTACAGCCTCAAGTCTTCTTGGGTATTACGCTACAAGCTTGGCACACCTGTATTTGGGGAATTTCTCCCATTCTTCTCTGCAGATCCTCTCAAGCTCTGTCAGGTTGGATGGGGAGCGTCGCTGCACAGCTATTTTCAGGTCACTCCTAAGATGTTTTATCGGTTTCAAGTCCGGGCTCTGGCTGGGCCACTCAAGGACATTCAGAGACTTGTACCGAAGCCACTCCTGCGTTGTATTGGTTGTGTGCTTAGGGTCGTTGTCCTGTTGGAAGGTGAACCTTCGCCCCAGTCTGAGGTCCTGAGCACTCTGGAGCAGGTTTTCATCAAGGATCTCTCTGTACTTTGCTCCGTTCGTGTTTCCTTCGATCCTGACTAGTCTCCCAGTCCCTGCTGCTGAAAAACACCCACACAGCATGATGCTACCACCACCATGCTTCACATTTACATTTTTTTTTACATTTACGTCATTTAGCAGATGCTCTTATCCAGAGCGACTTACAGTTAGTGCATACATTAGTCTTTTTTATTTTCATACTGCCCCCCCGTGGGAATCGAACCCACAACCCTGGCGTTGCAAACGCCATGCTCTACCAACTGAGCTACCTCCCTGCCGGCCATTCCCTCCCCTACCCTGGACGACGCTGGGCCAATTGTGCGCCGCCCCATTGGTCTCCCGGTTGCGGCCGGCTACAGCAGAGCCTGGATTCGAACCAGGATCTCTAGTGGCACAGCTAGCACTGCGATGCAGTGCCTTAGACCACTGCGCCACTCGGGAGGTTACTTCACCGTAGGGATGGTGCTAGGTTTCCTCTAGATGTGACGCTTGGCATTCAGGCCAAAGAGTTCAATCTTGGTTTCATTAGACCTTGTGTGCCTTTTACTGAGGAGTGGCTTCCGTCTGGCCACTCTACCATAAAGGCCTGATTGGTGGAGTGCTGCAGAGATGGTTGGCCTTTTGGAAGGTTCTCCCATCTCCACAGAGGAACTCTGGAGCTCTGTCAGAGTGACAATCGGGTTCATGGTCACCTCTCTGACCAAAGCCCTTCTCCCCCGATTGCTCAGTTTGTTTCTTCTAGGAAGAGTCTTGGTGGTTCCAAATGTCTTCCATTTAAGAATGATGGAGGCCACTGTGATCTTGGGGACCTTCAATGCTGCAGAAATGTTCCCCAGATCTGTGCCTCGACACAATCCTGTCTCTGAGGTCTACGGACAATTCCTTCGACCTCATGGCTTGGTTTTTGCTCTGACATGCACTGTCAACTGTGGGACCTTATATAGACAGGTGTGTGCCTTTCCAAATCATGTCCAATCAATTGAATTTACCACAGGTGGTATTAGGTTGTTGAAACATCTCAAGGATGGTCAATGGAAACAGGATGTAACTGAGCTCAATTTCGAGTCTCATAGCAAAGGATCTGAATACCTACACTACCGGTCAAAGGTTTTAGAACATTCAAGGGTTTTTCTTTATTTTTACTATTTTCTACATTGTAGAATAATAGTGAAGACGTGAAAACTATGAAATAACACATATGGAATCAGGGTAGTAACCAAAAAAGTGTTAAACAAATCAAAATATGTTTGAGATTCTTCAAATAGCCACCCTTTGCCTTGATGACCGCTTTGCACAGTCTTGGCATTCTCTCAACCAGCTTCACCTGGAATGCTTTTCCAACAGTCTTGAAGGAGTTCCCACATGCTGAGCACTTGTTGGCTGCTTTTCCTTCACTCTGCGGTCCGACTCATCCCGAACCATCTCAATTTGGTTGAGGTCGGGGGATTGTGGAGGACAGGTCATCTGATGCAGCACTCCATCACTCTCCTTCTTGGTAAAATAGCCCTTACACAGCCTGGAGGTGTGTTGGGTCATTGTCCTGTTGAAAAACTAAGCCCAAACCAGATTGGATGGCGTATCGCTGCAGAATGCTGTGGTAGCCATGCTGGTTAAGTGTGCCTTGAATTCTAAATAAATCACAGACAGTGTCACCAGCAAAGCACCCCCACACCATAACACCTCCTCCTCCATTTTTACGGTGGGAAATACACATGTGGAGATCATCTCACAAAGTTGGAACCAAAAATCTCCAATTTGGACTCCAGACCAAAGGACAAATTTCCACTGGTCTAATGTCCATTGCTCGTGTTTCTTGGTACAAGCAAGTCTCTTCTTCTTATTGGTGTCCTTTTAGTAGTGGTTTCTTTGCAGCAATTTGACCATGAACGTCTGATTCACACAGTCTACTCTGAACAGTTGATGTTGAGATGTGTCTGTTACTTGAACTCTGTGAATCATTTATTTGGGCTGCAATTTCTGAGGCTGGTAACTCTAATGAACGTATCCTCTGCAGCAGAGGTAACTCTGGGTCTTCCATTCCTGTGGTGGTCCTCATGAGAGCCAGTGTCATCATAGCGCTTGATGGTTTTTGTGACTACACTTGAAGAAACTTTAAAAGTTCTTCAAAAAAAATTTACCAAATAGGGCTATCTTCTGTATATCCCCCCTACCTTGTCACAACACAACTGATTGGCTCAAACGCATTAAGGAGGAAAGCGATTCCACAAATGAACTTTTAAGAAGGCACACCTGTTAATTGAAATACATTCCAGGTGACTACCTCATGAAGCTGGTTGAGAGAATTCCAAGAGTGTGCAAAGCTGTCATCAAAGCAAAGGGTGGCTATTTGAAGAATCTCAAATATAAAATGTTTTGATTTGTTTAATACTTTTTTGGTTACTACATGATTACATGTGTATTATTTCATAGTTTTGATGTCTTCACTATTATTCTACAATGTAGAAAATAGTAAAAAATTAAGAAAAACCCTTGAATGAGTAGGTGTTCTAAAACTGTTGACCGGTAGTGTATGTAAATAAGGTATTTCTGTTTTTAAAAACCTGTTTTCGCTTTGTTATTATGGGGTATTGTGTGTAGATTGATGAGGATTAAAAAAATTGTTTACATCCATTTTAGAATAAGGCTGTAACATAACAAAATGTGGAAAAAGTGAAGGGGTCTGAATACTTTCTGAATGCACTATAGATGTAAAGAGACAGGCATGCAGCTATAATGTAGGACCTGCCATATGTGTCATGATCCACCTCTTTACTAACAAGTAGTGTTTAAAATGCCTTTGCCAGGGAATGTAAATACAGTAGCAGACAATTGAGGTAATCAACCATCCATTTTGGTGATGAATGTTGGAAGTTTAAAAAGACAAAAGTAATCAGCTAGAGTAGACTATAGGATGTGACATATGGGGGAAACGCTCTTCCTTGCCAACAAGTTAGTAGATTTTCTAAAAAGTAGACACCTCTTGAGACATAGCTATGCTGCTGGCCGTTTTCCCACAATCATTTACAGTAAGTTCTATGAGGGGAGCATTTTCTGACAGATTGTGTGTGTGTGTATAAATATATATATTTATTTATTTATTTTTAGAGCACCCCTTCCCTGAACAAACCCCAGTCTCCAGGTTGTTCCACAGACAGCTCCACCAAGAAGGAGAAACCCGCCATCCTGGACCTGTACATCCCCCCTCCCCCCTCGGTACCCTACACCCCACGGTGTGTAACCCTGTAAGTCCTGCACCCCCTTCTCCAATCATTGCCATACACTAGGGTCAGGGGTTTTCCTAGGCATTTGACCAGGCCTAGTCCTAAGCCTAGAGTACTTTGGGTTCTGTAAAAACTCCTGGCCTAAACCTACACCTCAGGGTGAGTTAGACGTATGTGTGGATCCCTGTAACCCTGCATTGAGGGAGCCACGCGCCCACAGATAGCCGGCCCTTGATTCTCTAGCTACATTCTCCTGCTCTGTTCTCCTGCCTTTGAGGTCTGGATAAGGAGTGTGTTTCAGCCCCCTGATCTCTCGCCTTACACCCATAAACCCCTACAACAGAGCACATTCATCCCGCTCCGCTCGCACCGCAGACACATTATGCAACAGCCTCTGTTTCATCTGACTCCTTCGTCTCTCTCGCTCTCTCTCTCGCCGTCTCTCTCTCTCTCCCTCCCTCTATGTACAGTGAGGGAAAAAAGTATTTGATCCCCTGCTGATTTTGTACGTTTTCCCACTGACAAAGACATGATCAATCTATAATTTTAATGGTAGGTTTATTTGAACAGTGAGAGACAGAATAACAAAACAAAAATCCAGAAAAACACATGTCAAAAATGTTATAAATTGATATGCATTTTAATGAGGGAAATAAGTATTGACCCCTCTGCAAAACATGACTTAGTACTTGGTGGCAAAACCCTTGTTGGCAATCACAGAGGTCAGACGTTTCTTGTAGTTGGCCACCAAGTTTGCACACATCTCAGGAGGGATTTTGTCCCACTCCTCTTTGCAGATCTTCTCCAAATCATTAAGGTTTCGAGGCTGACGTTTGGCAACTCGAACTTTCAGCTCCCTCCACAGATTTTCTATGGGATTAAGGTCTGGAGACTGGCTAGGCCACTCCAGGACCTTAATGTGCTTCTTCTTGAGCCACTCCTTTGTTGCCTTGGCCATGTGTTTTGGGTCATTGTCATGCTGGAATACCCATCCATGACCCATTTTCAATGCCCTGGCTGAGGGAAGGAGGTTCTCACCCAAGATTTGACGGTACATGGCCCTGTCCATCGTCCCTTTGATGCGGTAAAGTTGTCCTGTCCCCTTAGCAGAAAAACACCCCCAAAGCATAATGTTTCCACCTCCATGTTTGACAGTGGGGATGGTGTTCTTGGGGTCATAGGCAGCATTCCTCCTCCTCCAAACACGGCGAGTTGAGTTGATGCCAAAGAGCTCGATTTTGGTCTCATCTGACCACAACACTTTCACCCAGTTCTCCTCTGAATCATTCAGATGTTCATTGGCAAACTTCAGACGGGCCTGTATATTTGCTTTCTTGAGCAGGGGGACCTTGCGGGCGCTGCAGGATTTCAGTCCTTCACGGCGTAGTGTGTTACCAATTGTTTTCGTGGTGACTATGGTCCCAGCTGCCTTAAGATCATTGACAAGATCCTCCCGTGTAGTTCTGGGCTGATAACTCACTGTTCTCATGATCATTGTAACTCCACGAGGTGAGATCTTGCATGGAGACCCAGGCCGAGGGAGATTGACAGTTCTTTTGTGTTTCTTCCATTTACGAATAATCACACCAACTGTCACCTTCTCACCAAGCTGCTTGGCGATGGTCTTGTAGCCCATTCCAGCCTTGTGTAGGTTTACAATCTTGTCCCTGACATCCTTGGAGAGCTCTTTGGTCTTGGCCATGGTGGAGAGTTTGGAATCTGATTGTTTGATTGTTTCTGTGGACAGGTGTCTTTTATACAGGTAACAAACTGAGATTAGGAGCACTCCCTTTAAGAGTGTGCTCCTAATCTCAGCTCGTTACCTGTATAAAAGACACCTGGGAGCCAGAAATCTTTCTGATTGAGGGGGTCAAATACTTATTTCCCTCATTAAAATTTAAATCAATTTATAACATTTTTGACATGTGTTTTTCTGGATTTTGTTGTTGTTATTCTGTCTCTCTCTGTTCAAGTAAACCTACCATTAAAATTATAGACTGATCATTTCTTTGTCATTGGGCAAACGTACAAAATCAGCAGGGGATCAAATACTTCTTTCCCTCACTGTAGGCTGCATGTTCAGATGGTGAATCATATTCAACAGGTTGTTGATTTAGTTAGGGACTGAGCAACAGCATAAAACACATTTTACTCATTTGATCTCCCTCCTTGTGCTCTCACCTATTTGAAATGAGACGTTGATGTTGATCAGTATTTTCTGTCCACAGAGAGAGTAAGATCAGCTCTTACTCCAGCATCAGTAAGATCAGACCAAAGGGTTCAGAGTCGCCCAATTCCTTCCTGGACCTGGAGAGTCAAAGACGCTTCACCATCGCAGACTACGACAAGCTGGGCGTGGTCTACCCCATCGAGGCCAATGTCATTCAGCCCAGGATGAGGGAACGCAACACCTCGTCTCGTGGTTAGTATCATCCCCCACAGTCACCACACACACAAGGCCCACTCATTCTAGAATTCAAGCCAATATTCAAAACCAGTGAGAGAAAATATTCAAACGTTTTTTTTCTGTTCTTCCTGCTTAGGTAAGCCACGCCCCCTCTCCATGCCAGTGGACACCTGTCTTGGACTGGCAGACCCCTATGCCAAGCCCTGGGCACAAGGCCGGAAAGGTAACAAACACATGCCAACCACCCGTCTTCTGAGTAACTGCAGAATAACAATTTAACCAACAGTAATCTAATTGACCACAACCTCAATCAGATTATCCAATTCACACCTTCAACAGCTAAATAAATGAGAACACATGGTAGAATTTACCCCTCCAATGACCTTGGAGGCCTGGTACCTCTGCTTCATTTACCAATGAATGAACCAAGTGATTAGTGTCAACTGAGAGCCATTATGTACCTCTTGCCTAAATGGGATTAACTAGAGTTTACACCAGGGGTTGGAACCAAAGTTATTTTCCAATCGTTCCATAATTTTTTTCGTTCCATTCCACTGTTTCGACCTGCAAAAGAAAGTTCTGAACCGGTTCGAACCCAAAAAAAAGTACCAGTTTATATCGTTCTTTTCTGTTCCTTTTTAAACCTCTTCACCAATCAGTGCGGAAAGAGCAGCTTAGGAGCAGGAAAGCTATAGTTGTTTATACGCGCGATGGACAGACAAGTTTAGGGCGCGGAATGCGACTGAAATTTTGCGGGTGGGGAGAAAGTGAGAGAGGGTGGTGGAGGAGGAGGCTTGGCTTGAAGAGCTGGGCATCTTGTTATGACATGCATTAACTGAATTAGGCAGACAGAAATATACCTACGGAGGAGTGGCTTCTATGGAGGACCTTTGAATGTCTTTGAATTTTAGAGAGTTGGCTTAACGTTGGACCAGAGCTAGCTAGCTAGCTAACAAGCTTGTGTGTGCAGAGCGGCACCAGAATTAAAAACACGTCTTACTTTTTTGTAGTTAATAAATCTAATGTGAAACATGATAACTATAGTACCTTAACTAGCATTGAAAAAGTTAATCCATTCTTCTGTAATTAAAATTCTCTCCCACATTTCTGAATCACGCTACAGCAGCCTATGCTTCAGAGGGGTAGGAGCAGGTAGCCTACACACGCACACACACTGGCAAATATTTTCAGTTGGCAGGCAGTAGGGTTGGGTAGTGTCCAGATTTTCATATCCTCATACCGTCCTTCTCTCACACAGGAATTTACGTTATTACTGGCTTAGTACACAAGGGAGCTCCAAAAAATGCAAAAAAAGGCCGTTGGGCGTCTATTACCAGAATTATAACAAAATTAGCACAAGTAATAGCGCATTTCCATGAAGGCTGCTAGCTAAATATGCTAACGAGCGCAAACTAAAATAAAAAATTGCAAAGTCAGGCAATCCAGTATGAAAATGTATGCACTCACTAACTGTAAGTCGCTCTGGATAAGAGTGTCTGCTAAATGACTAAAAATGTAAAAATCCAGCTCATTAAAGTTATACATGTATAGGTAGGAGCTACCGAATGTCATTTTTGGTGAAATTTGACATTTTAAAAGCAAATGTGAACGAGAGACATTGTGCAAATGAACAAAGTTTTGACGCATGCTTGTCTAAAGGAAGAACAGTACTGTGTACACACTGTGTCTTTGTGGAGTCTGGGAGTCTGCTCAGAGAAGATAGGGGAGGAGCAGACGGGCCCAAAACGGAGAGAAAGACGCAAGGTATTCAAGCTGCAGTGGCAGCTGTACAGAACTCATCCAAAGGGCTTTGACTTCTCAAACACAACAGAAAGCTAACACAAACTTGAACGTTGTGAAACATATAGCCCAACGTTTGTAGAACAACTAAAGTTGGTGAAGCATGGTGGTGGTAGCATCATGCTGTGGGGATGTTTTCATCGGCAGGGACTGGGAAACTGGTCAGAATTGAAGGAATGTATAGGTAGCACACATGAGGACATTTTTCTGTTGAGATAATGTCCTTATTAATTTCTAGTAAAATGTTTCCTGTTTTGACTAATTGAATAGAGTGCGTTAGGTCTGCTCTATACCAAATTAGCATACCCCATGTTTTACACCTGGTAGTTTGGTGGATGGGACTATCAACTCTATTTAACCTAGAGGGCAACCAGTGGGTCCGTCTCCTCTATTCCCTGTCTCTTGCAGGATGACAATGTCTGTATTTCCAATTTCTTTGATGAAGTCTGGGTTCCTGCTCTTTAGGCCAAAGGCAGATGACCTCAGACCTGGATGAGATAGTAAAAGTTTTGTGTTCCATAGTGTCTAGTGTTGTTTTCGTGTGATTTAGGGTCGGACCATTACAGTAGGTGTGAGCAGAGCATATTGAGCATCTGATACATACTGTACCTCTTAGGTCGCAGAATGGGGCTTGGGAAGGTATATTAGTGGGGGTTGGGCCTGTTGCTCTGATCACGGCCTGGGCATATGTGCGGTCTTTGCTGCAGGGGCGGGGGCGGGGGGCATGGGGGTGGCAGAAGGGGCATAGGTCTGATCTGGGGGGGCCTATATAGGGTGTGGCCAGGGTTTGTTTGCGGGTGGTGGGGATGTGACTAGTGATGCTGTAGTCTGGGTGTAGGTCCTCTTGGCGTGGGTTTTCTCGGTGCAGGTCCTTCGGGAGGGGGTCTGGGAGGGTGTCTCGCTGGTCTGGGCGGGGAGTCCGTTGCTCGTGTGTGAAGTGCTGGGGCTGTGGTTGAGGGCGACGTCCTTCAGGGTCCTGGCAAAAGTTGGGATTGCTGCCTTGTAGAGGTGGACCTGGACCTGGTCCTTCAAGGAGTGAATGGGAGTCTATTGGGCGCTAGCTCAAAAACCAAAAATTAGCACAGATTTCGTTAACAAGAATTACAGCATTACAAATATTTTCCGAGATGTGAGATAATTAACTTGCTATCTGTAGTATCGTATAGCTTTGGAATCATGACATTACGTACTTTCGAGGAAAATAGGCACGTTTCTCGACATATACATTGACTTTGAGAAGGGATTGCGTGACGATTAGCTTAGCAACCGTGTGACGCAGCATGACAACGTGAACGTGATTGGTCGACAGTCTGCTGGGTGGGGCATTATACGTTCCTTCATTCATTGGATTCCTATCTCCTTTCTATAATATCTCTGGCTACAGCACCATGCAATGCACCCTGGATGCAGACAAATAGGAAAAATGTGCTATGTTAAATTACACATTTCTCGAGGTAGGAATATCGCAAAAATATTATCAATGGCTCTTTCGAGAGAAGACAACTTACTGCGTTATGACATCGGCCAGTATTTAAATCTGACATGTATGATAACGTTTTTGCAATCTTAAAGTCGTATTCCTATTAACTTCTAGTGTAGAGAGAGCGACTATATCATGGTGCTACGTAAAACCGGCCGGATTTCTGCCTGCTTGAACGCCAATAACTCAGAAACACATGAAAACATGAAATGACCCAGGGAATCGATAGAACATCACTCAGAGATGCACAAAAACAATATAACATTCAAAATGGGTGAACCGTTCCTTTAACTAAAGGGGAAAACTCTAGAAAGTTGAGTGAAGTTCAATCTCGTGCTTCTCTGCACAGGCTGATATTTCTTCTGCGCGGCAGTCCCGGAGGAGCTGCGTACCTGCACACGTGCACAGCTAAGAGGGAACATTGCCACTTATACTGAACAAAAATATAAACGCAACATGCAACAATTTCTACGATTTTACTAAGTTACAGTTCATATAAGGAAATCAGTCAATTGAAATAAATAAATTAGGCCCTAATCTATGGATTTCATATGACTGGGCAGGGGCGCAGCCATGGGTGGGCCTGGGAGGGCATAGGCCCACCTACTTGGGAGCCAGGCCCACCCAGTGGGGAGCCAGGCCCAGCCAATTAGACTGAGTTTTTCCCCGCAAAAGGGCTTTATTACAGACAGAAATACTCCGTTTCATCAGCTGTCCGGGTGGCTGGTCTCAGACGATCCCTCAAGTGAAGAAGCCGGATTCATTTCTCTGTCAACAGCTCTGGTGGACATTCCTGCAGTCATCATGCCAATTGCATGCTCCTTCCAAACTTGATGACTGTGGCGTTGTGTTGTGTGACAAAAAACATTTTAGTGGCCTTTTATTGTCCCCAGCACAAGGTTCACGTTTGAGAGAAATGAAATAAGCTTTTCGTGCGCATGGAACATTTCTGGGATCATTTATTTCAGCTCATGAAACATGGGACCAACACTATACATTTATATTTTTGTTCAGTATAGATAACTAGCAAGTTAAACTTAGGGGTCGCCCTAACGCATAATACTTAGTTTTTCACGCAGGAAAAAAATATTAAACGCATAAGAAATATCTTGCTGCGTTTTGTAAATGCAGATCTAAAATGCTTCTTATTGTAATTTCTGCTCAGCATCAAACTAATTTTGTGCTTAAGTTGCACTTCTCCACTCGGATGATAATTCACGAATGGGCATTCTATCAGCAGACTGCCATTCTATCAGCAGACTGCCCTCTGACTGCTCTGACTGATGTGGAGCTACTTTTCTCTGGTACTTTTCTCGGTGTAGCCAGCCTACTTTTCTCTGGTACTTTTCTCGGTGTAGCCAGCCTACTTTTCTCTGGTACTTTTCTCGGTGTAGCCAGCCTACTTTTCTCTGGTACTTTTCTCGGTGTAGCCAGCCTACTTTTCTCTGGTACTTTTCTCGGTGTAGCCAGCCTACTTTTCTCTGGTACTTTTCTCGGTGTAGCCAGCCTACTTTTCTCTGGTACTTTTCTCGGTGTAGCCAGCCTACTTTTCTCTGGTACTTTTCTCGGTGTAGCCAGCCTACTTTTCTCCGGTACTTTTCTCGGTGTAGCCAGCCTACTTTTCTCCGGTAAAATGCTAGATTAACTTAAGCAAAACATTAGGAAATGTAGCTGGTTACATTCTTTCTATGATGAACATTAGAAATATGATGGCCATGCATAGTTATTTTCTTCCTCAAAAATAGACCTTGCTTTTTCATTGTAAGCTCATTTACTTGTGTGGCTGCCAGCCAAATAGTGTTGCACTTCTGTTGTCATCTGATGACAATGAAGCTATTTTCTGATGAATGTGTTGCACTAATGTATTTTCTGTGAAAGAAAACTATAGTTGCATGTCCCTGATCACTCTATTGAAGAAAAAACAACAACACTGACTTTCAATATAAAACGCGAGCCCTGTCAATACACAGCTGGACTCAATACACAGCTGGACAGCTGGACAACTTTCTCCCATTGTGTTATTTACAAAAACACGTGACTGGCTCACCTGTTCTGGGGAACTATGGTAAGCTTCATAATGTAAAAGGATGTGAACGGTGAAATGAAGAACGCAATCTGCTTTACCTCCTAATGTATTGCACAAGTTGACTGGAATTATTTATTTAAAGTAGCTACAAATATTACAATTTATTGAGAAAAAAATTTGTTTTGTTTTGAAGGTATTGAAAAACCATCCAATGGCTATTTCCAAATATCCTGGTGTATGGTATATAAGGTAAAATAACATTATTAACCAGTTCCCATTTTAAAATAACAGTTCTGTTCCGGAACAGTATAGATCTACAACACTTTTGTTCCCAGTTCTGATCCTTGTTCTTTTCCGGTTTTCCAATCCCTGGTTTAAACCAATAAGATCAGTTCTTCATCCCCTGGTCTCCTTGGAGAGGACAGACACACGGTTGTGAATGCACAGACAGAGCTATCAAACTGCTGGAAACCCAATTACACTGCAATGGTAGAGGAGTGGGAGAATGCTTTAATTGGCCGAGATGCCTGTGCAATGCTCTGTCCTTCCATGGCCAACACATGCTGTAGAGATCAATTGTACTCCTCATTTTATGTAACAGTGCTTCTCTATAATACATTTTAGGCCTACTGAAGATATGCCCTAAAATCAACAACCTATTCTCAGTAACGTGTGTTGTTTGTACATGACTTTCTAAGACAATTGTACTAAAGATGTGTATTTCCCTCCACTATTCCCTCCAGGCGAGGATCTCCTGTACAGATACCTGAGTAATGAGCGGATCCCCACCATCGCTGAGGAGGTAACGTCAGTGGCGCCGCCCTACAGGCCAGTGGGGGAACAGCAGCTGGTCCGAGGGGTGGACCACATCCGGGGCAGCCGCTATTATGCCAACCAGGACCTCCACAACAGCGCCACCATCCCCTACCAGGACCATGACCTGGACAGCAAAAAGACCCCCATAGCCCCCGCCTCCAAACGCCCCCCGGCAGAGCCCTCGCTACTGGTCAGTTGGATCACACGGCTTAAGCTATTGACTCAATGATGATGCGCTTCCTGTCCGGGGCTTCCTGTTCCTGTCTGTCCTCCTCAGTGCCTTTTGTCCTCCGGCTGTTTGCAGTGGGCTCTCCTTCTTCTCTCTCATACTTTCTCCCTGCCTCCCCGGTGTTACTACTACTACTACTGTACTGCTACACCACCAAACTACTTTAGTAGTTAACTCACTGCATTCTGTTACATCATCTCCTAACCAATCCCAGTCCCCTATCGACTACCAACCAATCCCAGTCCCCTACCAACAACCAACCAATCCCAGTCCCCTACCAACCAATCCCATCTCAGCCACACAATCAGATAAACATAGGAATACGTAGTGAGCTGGCTGCCACACCCAGCACATGCATGAGAACAATAATATTTGGAGCTAGAGGTTTTACCAAGACGAAATGTCTGTCTACAAATGGACAAGAGGAATGATTCAGGTTTTAGGACATATCGGCCTTGTACCTTCATGGGAACTCTTTTGTAAAAAAATGTTTACTTACAGTGCATTCGTAAAGTATTCAGACCCCTTCCCTTTTTCCACATTTTGTTACGTTACAGCCTTATTCTAAAATATATTTTTTTTCCTCATCAATTGACACACAATACCCCATAATGACAAAGCGAAAACAGAAATGCCTTATTTACAGAAGTATTCAGACCCTTTGCTATGAGATTTGAAATTGAGCTCAGGTGCATCCTGTTTCCATTGATCATCCTTGAGATGTTTCTACAACTTGATTGGAGTCCACCTGTGGTAAATTCAATTGATTGGACATGATTTGGAAAGGCACACACCTGTCTATATAAGGTCCCATGGTTGACAGTGCATGTTAGAGCAAAAACAAACCCATGAGGTTGAAGGAATTGTCCGTAGAGCTCTGAGACAAGATTGTGTCGAGGCACAGAACTGGGGAAGGGTACCAAAAACGTTCTGCAGCATTGAAGGTCCCCAAGAACACAGTGGCCTCCATCATTCTTAAATGGAAGAAGTTTGGAACCACCAAGACTCTTCCTAGAGCTGGCCGCCTGGCCAAACTGAGCAATCGGGGGAGAAGGGCCTTGGTCTGGGAGGTCACCAAGAACCCGATGGTCACTCTGACAGAGCTCTAGAGTTCCTCTGTGGAGATGGAAGAAACGTCCAGAAGGACAACCATCTCTGCAGCACTCCACCAATCAGACAATCAGACCTTTATGGTAGAGTGGCCAGACGGAAGACACTCCTCAGTAAAAGGCACATGACAGCCCGCTTCGAGTTTGCCAAAAGGCACTTAAAGGACTCTCAGACCGTGAGAAACAAGATTGAACTATTTTGCCTGAATGTCAAGCGTCACGTCTGGAGGAGACCTGGCACCATCCCTACGGTGAAGCATGGTGGTGGCTCATCATGCTGTGAGGATGTTTTTCCAGCGGCAGGGACTGGGATACTAGTCAGGATCGAGGGAAAGCTGAACGGAGCAAAGTACAGAGATCCTTGATGAAAACCTTCTCCAGATTGCTCAGGACCTCAGACTGGGGCGAAGGTTTACCTTCCAACAGGACAACGACCCTAGGCACACAACCAATACAACGCAGGAGTGGCTTCGGTACAAGTCTCTGAATGTCCTTGAGTGGCCCAGCCAGAGCCCAGACTTGAACCTGATCAAACATCTCTGGAGAGACCTGATAATAGCTGTGTAGTGATGCTCCCAATCCAACCTGACAGAGCTTGAGAGGATCTGTAGAGAAGAATGGGAGAAACTCCCTAAATACAGGTGTGCCAAGCTTGTAGCGTCCTACCCAAGAAGACTCAAGGCTGTAATCGCTGCCAAAGGTGTTTCAACAAAGTACTGAGTAAAGGGTCTGAATACTTATGTAAATGTGATATTTCCGTTTTCTTTTTTTTAACTGAAATGTCTAAAAACCTGTTTTTGCTTTGTCATTTTGGGGTATTGTGTGTAGATTGATGAGGGGGGAAAAAACAATTTAATCAATTTTAGAATAAGGCTGTAACATAACAAAATGTGGAAAAAGTCAAGGGGTCTGTATACTTTCCGAATGCACTGTATATCATCATGTTATCTTTGAGATACTCCCTGCAAAAGGGTTTGATTTCATTAGATTTTATTTCCAACGGTGTGTTATTATTTGAGAAACAAAGAAAAAAGGGTTTCCAGGTTTCTACTGTACTTATATTTCTGTTTATTTATTTTCATGTCAGGCCCTTGTTACCATTCTGTTAAATTACACACTGCCAATGGTGGCCTCTTTAAAAGCTATGCATATAGGAACTCTTTACTGTCACAGATTGATGCTGCATTGGCGGGTGACAAAATACTGTTTCAACATCACCAGCAATAATTTTCTCTGGGTTCAAAGCTATGCACTCTTCTCTGTCCTGCCTGGTTCTGGAGGCTGTAGACACACTGCTCTGTGATCACCCTGCTCAAAGGATGCTCACAGCTGCTTGTCTACAATCAGCCTTGGGAACAAAGATGTGTAGGTTAGGCCTCTGGAGTCACTGGCCAGACAGCCTTCTGTAATCAGTACAGATAGCCTAGTGAGACTCTATGGATAGCTTATAACAAGCGTTACAACACCAGAGTTTAACTGACAATATTATTAAATACCACGAGATGTCAAGAAATGTAAAAAATACAATTGTACCTTTTTGTAACATTTTGATAGTATATTATTAAAGGTGCAGTTGATTCCAGTTCTCATTTGTTTTGTCATTATTTGTATTTTTGCTGAAGAACTAGATTAAACATATTGTTATATTTGTTGGTGACCTGTCCAAAATCTTCACACCAACCATTTGCATGCAAGGTGTTTGAATTGTTACTTTCAGTGGCTATTCACCCTGGAGGGGCACTTCAGGGGCTTAAACCTGTTATGACTTGGCCTAATTTGCTTTGACCTTTGAGAATGAACTCTACTTCTGTTTTTTTAAGCATGTGGTGAAACTAGATAGCCAAGCTAAAGTTACCTTCTCTCTCTCTTTCTGCCATGCTTCTGCAACTGCCTTGTTTCAAACTTAAATTGACCCTAAGTTCTAATTAGGGAGAGGGAAGCATATGTCTTATTGGACTGTCAAGATATTATATTGCTTAAAATATGCTCTTTTAACCTCTGTACGCCTTTTCACCTACATCTGAATTGCACTCGTGACTCATTTTATTTTCTTTGTTACATTTTATCAAAAAAGCTGGCAGACCAATTTGGCTTTTGAAAATCATAACACTAGACAAGAAGAACAACATGACTTTGGCACATTTCTACATTAATCTCACTACCTTTCTCCCCCTCTCCCTTTTCCCTGCATGATTATACCGGTTGTCTGGGTGCCCCCTGTCACTGTTTGTTTTAGTCTCTCTTCGTCCTAGCCTTCTGTGCCCTAGCCTGCCTAGCTATGGCAACCTGCGGCCCTTACTCATCTGTTTGTAGTGGAAAAAAATACAGCCTGCTCTTTGCTTCTCCCTGCGCTGTTTGCACACTTCTAACAAAAACCACAGCCGTGCATTATGTTGATGTGAAAAGGGAAAGATGTTATGTATGTTGACAGATTTGTATTTTGACAGATCTTCTTTCTATTCACCATTTTCTTCACAGGAGAAAATGTTAGTGTGTTGATTGACATGCTCTCTACTTTTTCTTTGATACATGTTAAGCTTTGGAAGCGAATCAGCGATTGTGCCACTTAACACATTAGTAAATCAACACTTATAAATTAGCCACTTAGATATATGTTCTTAAAACATCAAGGATTTTTAGGTTACTGTAGAGCAGGTCTTGCCTCCAATGCCTTTCAACGGTCTGGGCAAGACAGACCAGTGTAGTCTCTAACCAACAACTGCCACAAGGCCAGAAGATCCAGAGAAAGTGACTCAGAAGGCCAATAACTGTTGACCAGTGCTGTCTGGGTAGTGAATGAGTTAACTTCGTTCTTTGTGTCCGTCACTCACAGGTGTCTGACTGGCGCTCCAGCAGTGGCTTCAGCAACAGGTGGGTGGTCACATTACGTCACTCATTTGACTCATAGTCAACCATAACTCTCATAACATAACCCATTCTCAATTACAACCCATTCTCAATTACATGTGTGTTGTACTGTAAGCATGTGAAGTATGAGGTCAGATAGGACAAATACCCCTGATATTTGGTGTCATATCACTTATGGAGCACCCAGTCAGTCAGGGAGTAGCGGCATGTTTTTAACCAAGCCAGGGGTGGGTGCTCTGAACCGGATTTTAACGACCAATGAAAAAAAGTATGTGGTAGAAAACTAACCTCAGCCTCATCATGGTGTCAGAGGACCAGACAGACTACTGGGATACGACATGCTAGACCACAGACAGGTAGTGTTACAACCTCAAGGCATGACATTATTTGAATGATTAAGACCCAGAAGGAATAGGCCAGATCCTTCTGTGTGGAAATAGAGGGCTCTGAATGTGGATAGTTCTTATTTTACGGATTTGGGTTTAATCTTTGAAGACATCGGATTCCCCTTATTGAAATTAAATTAACCTCACTTCGATGACATCCTACAAGAGGAATCATAAATGATGACAGTGTTATAACAAAACATGATTTTCCAAACAAACTATAAATACTGTAGCTGCTCCAACCCACTGACTGACGATGGTGGAAGGAACAATCCCCCTGTCTGTTTGGTAGAGCCTCCATGGCCTTTCATTGGGCCTGAGGGAGTGACTGCACTAATTAACACTGGGATTGATGACTAATCCCAACACACTCACACAACCCAAACTGCTATATTAAGACCTCATTCTCTGCCTGTTTGTCACCCTCATGATGAGTGCCCACATATTAAGACTCATATCCGTCATAAATCCTAAATGCACAGATTTCAGATCACACTGTTACACGATAGAGTAGGCAATGGAGCGATTATTTGCATGTACATTCATGTAATGGCAGAAATACTTGATTATGAATATTCAATAACAAGTTTAGGACACTCAAAAGTATCTAGCTAATCCACGTACACACACCTAGTGA